TACAAAAAACACACTTAACAAATGTTTGAAACACCTAGTGAATAAGGCTACCGCTACACAGGACATATCAGTAAATGTACTTATAATTGCCTGGCCAGTCACATCAACTCTACTGGAACAAGTCGTCAATGAGATGTTCTGCACGGGAGTGTATCCTAACGTGCTAAAGAGCACGCGTGTATGTCCTGTGTACAAGGGCAAAGGTGAGATGAGCAGAGTTGATAATTATAGACCTATAACTATTGTACCAATTATTTTAAAGATAATTGAGTCGATTATTTCCTCTCACCTAATGTCACATTTAGAATGCAATGATCTTGTGGCAAACAACCAATATGCCTATCGTAAGTACCGGTCCATCACAGCGGCTGCACAGAGACTGGTGGATTCAATAATTACGGGGTTGGATGGTAAGTCCAAAGTAGCAGTAATGATGTTGAGACCTGTCAAAAGCGTTTGATGCAATCAGTCGCGAATTACTCTTGGAGAAACTATGTCACTATGGTATGCGAAGCAAAACATACGATCTTCTGAAATCATTTTTATCACGCACAATTCAGACAGTTGAAGTAATATCAGGTGGGAAAAAAATACGCAGTAGTGGAGGTGACGTGAAACATGGAATTCCTCAAGGATCTTCATTAGGAAATACCCTCTTCGTGACATTTATTAATGACCTACCGTCCCATATCACTGATGGTTTATTGGTTTTGTTCGCTGATGTTACCACTGTAATTGTGTGTGCCCGAACTTACGACGAACTCTATATAAAACTAGGAAATGTCCATATGAGTCTGATGAAATGGTTCACTTCCAATGGTCTCATACTAAATGCTGCTAAATCTAGTTTAATATTGTTCTCTGGTAAATCAATCCCGAGGCCAACGTGTTTAGATAGTCCAAAGCCCATAACTGACCACATTAAGTACTTAGGATTCATTCTGGATGACAATTTAACGTGGAAGCGTCATATAAATTCTATGTTTGGTAGACTAAGCAGTGCGGCTTATGCACTAAAAAAAATTAAAACCTGTCGTTACAGATTGCATACTACGACAAACATATTTCACATATTTTCGCTCCATAATGTCGTATGGTACCATTCTATGGGGCGACTCCACTGATTCTGACAGGGTATTAATTATTTAAAAACGAGCAATGAGGATACTTGCTTAGGATGTATTCGATGTATTTATATGGATTAATCACATTCATGCGAAAAATATTACACAACTTTGAAAGGCATGAAAGCCGTTATAACACTTGCTCCACAGGACGACTGAGGGTCGTACCGCGACGGTTAGCACTCACTGAAAAAAATCCGCGCGTAATCGGCCCGACTTATTATGAGCATCTACCCATTGACTTAAAAAATGAGCCTAATGATGAAACATTTGATCGTTGACTGAAGGACTTTTTGTTGGATAATGCGTATTATTCCACTGAAGAATATAGGAACATGGTCTTGTAATATATGTTGTAATTTGTAGATTATTAGGTATAAATATTATTTTACAGAAATGAATAAATTACATAAACTTAATGCATACAATCATTATATTGACATAATTATTATTATATTATTTAATATGTTCCTACATTATTTCAGATAACTACATTAACTATGTTAAAATTATGTAGTGCAAAACTTGTACTGGATATTTGTAATTTTTTTAAATGTAACGTTTATTACTATTTGTAACGATTCTTGTAATACAATATATTGTATATAATAATGTAAAGTTCACACGATAATAAATAAATCTAAATTATCGATACGTTAAGAAGAAGACACTAATAAGATACAAATGATTTAACTTCGTCGTCGTCTTTATTATGTGCTACAAAGATCGAACACAAAAAAATCCTTCGATTTAACTGGAAAGGCATTTAACGTCGCCTTACTACTGACCACAGATACATATATCATCATCAATCCATTTCCACGTCCGACTGTTGGACACAGGTCTCCTCTCAGGCGAGGGTATAGGCCATAGTATAGGGTATAGGCCAGACCGGCAAAATGATAGTGACGGAGTGAAGATATTTGTGTTTTCCATCCGTTACTCTCATCTCTGGACTGTATTCGCACTTTCCATCAGGCGCGGTGCAGTCATTTTGTCGAGTCGCAATAAAAAAAAAAAAAAAAAAAAAATAGTCCGCCACCTTGGCCCAATGCGGGTTGGGGACTTATATACGTTTCCTGAGGGTTGTGAACCTTTCGGCTCTACTCATGGTAAATTTCAAATAAAATTATACATTCTGCCGCCGTTAGGTAGTTGAAAAGGCGCTTGTGACAAAATTTCAAAACCGAGAAAATAATGTTTAAAGAAATGAAATTCACAAATTTAAAAAAAAAATACTTTTCTTACCTAGAAACAAATTTAAATAGTGCCAGATCGGCCTTTTTTATTGTTCACGGCAGTATACAACAGTTTTTTTGAAAAAATGTCACGTGCGCCCTTCCAAGTAACGGCGCCGGCGCGGGCGGCAGTGGTGACAGTGGTATTAGGTATGTGCAAATTGTCACTTTCCATATTGCTGATAAGACTGCTTTGTTGTTTACTTTTCGACCAAAGACCATTCAATATAAAAATATATAATCAATCCCTAAATAAATTTAAAATTTTAAAAACCAACTGGTCTTCAAAAGACAGTTCAAGGATTTTAGATTAAAAAAGCATGTCAGAATTATTCCAAGGTAGGAATTTCTGAGACACTGCTACAAACAGAGTACTTAAGTCAATGGTTATCTGTTTTATAAGTCAGTGTTTGTTGAACATACTTAATTAATGGATAAATTATAATAATTTTTTTAGATATAAACGTAATGTAATAATAATTATATCCGCGGCAGAACGGTTACTATTCCCGGGCCGGCCGGGAGAAATATTTGTATGGCCGTGTAATTTGTGGTTGTCTATGTCCATGGCACCCCTGATACAGGGTTTCCCTAGTGCGGGGCTATGAGCGTGTCTGTTATTGTTATTATTATTATCATAATTAACCGACTGTATTTTTTTATAATAAAAGGTAGGTAGTTTACGAAAAAGGTAGTGCGCTTGTTGTAAGCGACACGTCTATCCTTAACTGTTGCAGTGCCACTCAGAGTTGTTTTAAATCGCAGACATTGTTTAATCATCGACATTGATAAGAAGAGAACGTGCCAAATTAACTCTATGATTTATAAATAACGAGTTTGCTAGTTCAATATAACGCATTGGAATATTCAAATAAATAGATAACGCGCCAAGCAATTACAGAATTAATTGAACTATTGGAAAGTATTCTTTGCTATTTAGGTACCATAGTAACAAAATTAACTCCTGGGCACCCACAACATCGATATCAGAAACAATTTTATAAAAGTAATTGGTCCTAATGGAATCGAACCCGGGACTTCTCCGTCTAATGTCTAAAGTGCTGCTGTGACGAGGATGTCAAATTCTGTGGTGACAAAGTTGACAATACTTCATAAGCATTATACCTACCTATAATAGTAGGTGTTCAGAACATACGCTAATTCTCTTAATGAGAACATATATCATTGTGGAATGCGATAACTATTTTCATTTATCATATTAAGTTAAATGCTAAAGACAAAACTATATTATCTATCTAACTTTATAGCCCATTCTAAGTTCAATAAAACTGATAAAATTTGATTAGCATAATCCATGAATACGTCGCAAAAGTTATTTAGTTATTATTAGGACAAAGTTATTTGATAACATGCCTTTTCCAGTACGTAAAAGCTTTTTTTCGTGTTATATACATGTGGCCTTCTTCTTTTCCAACCATTATCCGCAGAATGCTTAGGTAGGTGTTTTCCCAATGAACGCTATTGCTTCCGGTCTTGTGTCTTTTTCATCCAGTCTTTCCCTGCCACTTTAACAAGTTACATTAACTTTGGGTAAAATCAAATAAAGTCCACAGCTTGATGACAAACTGACTTTTGAAAATATAAAAATTTCTAAACGAATGTTAATGTCAAACTACTGTTTCTAAACCAAACGAAAAACTTCAATTTCATAACCTCAAAGTTTCACTTGAAATTTTGTATTTTTCACTAAAATTGTTGTTAATATATCGAAATGAGGATAACACAAGTTTTATCCAGTGCTCCTTCGAGGCACAACTCGAGGAGATACCAAAAAGAACCAGTTCCTTTTCAAATGTTGCTACCTCTTGCATTGAAGAAGACGGTATCAGGAAAGAGTGATAAAATGAAGGAAGCTGCTTGTATGCAGGAGATGACGGTGATGTTCGCTTGTTTTAAAAAGCATGAGTTTGACCAAGCACAGTGTGCGAAAGAAGTATCGAGTTTTCAAGGTTGTTATAAGGCCTATATGGACAAAATGCAAACTCAAAGGGAACAGGGGAAAAAAGGTATTCTAGTACCAGGAGAGAAGAATCTAACGCATAGACAAATGAATCAGTTGTTAAAATCTTTTCCGCCAAAGAAGTAAAGGTTAAATAGTTGAATTGTTGGCCTTGTGTGCAAGACTATTGCAGAATGTCATCAAAAGATGTGTTTTAATTTTTATTAGTTTGTATTTATGTGATTAAAGAGTGAAATTATTGTAAGGTTTTTATTTTCAAAGAGAAATATCAGAAGATAGAAAGTATCTGCATGTCAGTATTGTCATTGGTTTGCAAATAATAACTTTACAATAGAGACCAAAACTTTAAAACATAATTCACTATAATTTGTCTTCCAGGTTCTATAAAACCTCTAGGTGAATGTCGATACCTACACAAAATAGCATTTTTTGCTATGCTTTTGTCACAAAACAGAGTGATTTCTTTACTTTTAAATATGGAACCTATAATATACATAAAAAGGTGTATATTTACTTAACTTAATAACGTTTTTTAAAAATTACGTAACTTAATAAGTAAAAAATGCTATTTGTGGCATACGTGAGAGGTATCAATGGATATTATGCTAAATTTAATTATTTCGATTATGCCAAATCATCAAATAATCACAAAAAGGTATTTGGAGATTGTGAGACTCGGAATTGAATATTGGCTCCTAGGTTTTTGCCATATATAAATAGGCATTGAAATTTTATAAAACTATTGACTCAAACACCCCCTTTAAGGGAACACAGCAACAAATGTTTTCTTTGGTATTTTTATCCATTATAAGCATTTTGATTTGACTTTAATGTGTGTGACTTTATTACCTCTTGCAGAATGTCTTGGTTTATGATATAAATTTCGTAAGTGACAAATATTTATTTACAATGTACAACCTCTTGAGTTTCTTATTCATTCTTATGAGGGGAATCTGTTTTACAATGAGTAGTAGAATTCCATTGATATACTGTTTCAAGTGTAATAGAATAGCTTACCTGTGAAATAAAGATTGAGTGGCAATAAAGTAAAAAATATCCAGTAATACTTTTAGTTAAGGTAGTAAACTGGACAGATTGCAGTGGCAACATGTAGGTGACATTACTGTTTCTAAGCTTGGTGACACCTATTATTCTTAGATGTTGAGTGTCGTCTAAACATTCTGCAGCACTCCTTGCAATAACAAGTAAATTATTATAGTGACAATTGAAAAATATTCATAAATCCAAATTAGTGATATATAAACATAACAATTTTACACATTGATAATGCCTCACAAGTTTTGTTTCCTTTACATAATATTTTGTTATTGACCAAATTTTGGGGTGCTGCTCCTACCACTATTGGATTTTTTAGCAAATTTGTTGTAATAAAAAAAATTCTTCACTAGGAAATAATAGATTCCGAAAAAAATTATTTCTAACTCACATACGCGTCAGTATACACTCCAGTGTTCTTGGTTATGATTTTTGTTTGAGACCACTCTCTGTGCAAGTGTGCTCAGGTTTTTTAAACTGCAACTGTATTGTCATTCCTCTGTATGATAAACCCCTTTCCCTCTTTCCCCTAACCCCTTGACCTGTTAATATCAAATTCCTCCTAAAGTTAGTGCAGTCTCCTTTTGTGTATGTTCTATGTAAACTTATTAAAAGTAACAATTTGTTTCTGTAATATGCATATGATTATGTCGCCGGTTGTTGTTCTCTTCTCAGCGAAGTCTGTCGAAATCCAGTGGTCAAATTTTGAGTAATGAACATGTGTCTTCCTTAAGTTGACATTGGGATCATCGATTGTATCAATGGCTCCATTGATACAATCAATGATATAACAATTTCAAGAAGAATAAAAACTTTTAGTTTAATGTTTTTAATTAAAATCATCAAATCACAATGGAAAATTACATACTAAGTATAAATGTTAAAATAGCATAAGACAAATATCATTTAGGCGCAGTATGGATCCATTGTGGCGAAGACACCTGCAGTTCAATACGGCGCACAGTTATCCACTCGTCATCCACACTATGAATGTTGTAGAACCTTTCTAGTTCTTCTATGGCTTTGTCTTCCAACTGCAAGATGAAATAAATATATGATAAATATTTTTAGGAAATAATTTTCATAATGGAGAATATTTTGCTTGAATATTTTATTTTTATATGAGATTATGGTGCTTTTTTATTCGTTTTTTATTTAGGGACTTTAAGACCTCAGCATGCGAAGCAAATGCCAAAAACATATTTTATATAAATATTATGGCACTTTCTAAGTTATGGAACCCATTATTAAACGAGTTTGATAAAGTCTCTTATTTGATGAGGCACATTTGTACTGATTACCATGATGTTTAATATACTTAACAAAGGTATTACGAAATTTCCATCACTATTTACAGAATAATACAAATTCTACAGGGAACTCACATTTATATTGGTCTAGCTGGTGCGTATGACTTCGTCAGCGAGTCAAGACTATATACTTCGAACAGCCTACAGTACTATACTAATTTTCATAGTTTTAATGTTCTCCATACAACTTTCATCCCATATTTCACCCTCTTTAAGATTTATTTTTGTGACAAAAGTAGGCTAAGTTCTCTTAGGTTCCATCTAGCTCTATACCAAAATTCATCAAAATTGGTTCAGCGGTTTAGATGTGAAAACGTGACATTACCGAGTTACTTTCGCATTTATTATATTAGTTTAATTGAAACCAAAACTTAATACAAGATTCATACAAATATTTTTTCATGTTTTGAATTGACTGTATGAAACATAGTCGCTATGATAGACTGCGGATCGGGATTGAATGAAATTCTGAGATTATAAGACTACTTGACTATAGTAAACATTTCCGTGAATTTTGCTAATTTTGTTTAACAGACAGATTTACAAAATAGAGTTAAGGCTCATAACAGAGTCTACCAGGGACAAAGTTAAAGTTTGTGAAACACTAGGCTGAAAGCAATCGTTTAATATAAATGTAATATTTAGGTACCTGCGTCAAATACAGCGGCTTGGTCATGATTCTCGAGAAATCATCCTTCTGTTTCTTTTGATCAGCTAAAATCTCATTAAATTGCATGGCTTTCGCTGCTTTCGGACTACTACTGGCCATGGGTACTTCGCAAATCTTCCACGGATTTCTTACCTTTTCTGGGGGACTTTCAATATTTAGTTTATTAGCCATATAGTTATCCAAACTCTGAGGAGTGGCATCGCCTTGCATAGCTAACTTTTTGCGTTGTTTTTGAGACAACTTTGGTCCAACATGGCTTATAAGAAAGTTCCCTTGGGGCGACTTAGGCAGATCACCTGTAGTTAAGTCACAATTTTTCGGGGATACAGTCATTCTAGAAGTAGTGGCATTGTCATAAATGGTACTAGTAGAGTTGTTTTTCGACAGTTTCACAAAAGATTCCATGGGGGTTTCATTTAATATGTCTTTAGCACTGTTTACAGCTTTGAGTCTTGCTTGAACAACTTTTTGTTGCTTTTGTAGAGCCGATGGAACTTCTATCCACTTGCCTTGTTTTTCTTTTGCTTCTTTCTCAGTTTCCTTACTAATTTTACGTAATGATAATGTTATATCTCCGGAAGTGTCATTGGAGAGATCCAAGGAGTTCACAGAACTTACAGATTCGTATCTCATTCTAGCTTTTTCACTTTCTGTATATTCAATCTTCTTCTGACGTTTCTTTTTATTGACTTCAATACTTTCGTCCTTTTTAAAATCTTCGTCTGTGACCCCTAAATCAACTGGGTAATTCTTTGACAATTCTTCTATAAGTTCATCGGTAGGGGCGTTGTAAAACGGCGTAATAATTCGAGAGGACATTATAGGGTTAAATTTGCAATAATATTTTGTAATGTCCTCTAAAAGAATATGTTCCAAAGGATCTAAAGACTTGCTTTCCAGTATACTGCATAAGTTCAAAGAGATATATTCCATGCAACACTGTTTTAACTGTACAGCATTATATGTGTGTGCGAATTGGCATAGCTCTGAGCAGTTTCTCAATGTAATTAAGTTTGCTAGAGCTACTTCACACATTTCTCTAAGTCTCCCAATAAACAGTTGATCTGCTACAATAAGCATGCTGCATAAGAAATCAATACTGTCTGAATTCTCCACTTCTGGGCAGCAATCGGAATATAAAAAGTTTATAATAGGTACTAATATTCCATGGTTAATGGGTAGCGTGACTTTAGATAATAATGTGCTCTGTAATGCAGGATTAATAATTATCTGTTTATTAAGAGATATATTGTCGGTCACAATTTGTTTAGATATGTTCATAATTTATAATACTTTATATTATCGTATTAACAGATGCTGTAAAATATACGTTATCTAACAATGAAAGCAGTTTTGTTTTATTGAGTTTATACAAAATATGACACATAGTTTTGTTCATAATGCGCAACAGATAAGTTTATATACATTTTTAATTGTATCAACCTACATATACACGGGCTTCATTGGTAAATATCACATGGCTCCTCGCGATTTCTATAACTTGTCATCATTATCCACCCATTTATAAGACCCACTGTTAGGTACGGGTCTCCTCTTAGGCGAGGGTTTAGGCCATAGTCCGCCACGCTGGTCCAATGCGGGTTGGGGACTTCACACGTTTTCCGAGGGTTGTGAACCTTCTTCGACGTGCAGGTTTCATCACGATGTTTTTCCTTCACCGAAAAGATCATGGTAAAAATCAAATTTCTCACGTAAATGCCGAAAAACTCAGGTGCGATCTCGGATTCTAACCCACGGCCTCTGCTTTAGAGGCGGTAGATCCAACCAACAGACTACCACGGCTTCGCTATACATAGGACTTATCAGTTAACATTTAATTCTTACCTCAGTCCAAGAATGCATGAACATCCCTTGGAAATATTCCAACCGTGCAGTCAAAATGCACTTATGTGCTGGTATAAGGTGACCATCTTTGGAACACACATTAGTGTCAACTAATTCAGGGTGCGTTTCTCTATCCCACGATGGTGGAGTCGTCTTTGTGAATGTCGCACTGTCTTTTAGACATATCGTACCGTCTCTGTAACTGTGAAAATTGGATTGTTAATAAAATAAAAACTGTTAGAGGCTAACTAAGGGAGTCATCAAACTTATTAACGCGGAATCGACTTGATGCGAGTGTTTAAGCACACTTGTCGCATTAAGAATTGATACTCGAACTTCAATTTTTCCCGCACTTATACGGTTTATTGCTTGGGTCGAGCGACAGGGACACTGGCTTTATTTCAGAATTTATTTTTTGAAAAATGCATATCGTATAGTATACGTTTTCTATTTAGTTCAGTTGACATAAAAAAACAAACATTGGTATTATGTAAAGCACCTATTGAATACAGCGGTTTTCTTGTAAAATTAACTAAAGGCTTATTTTGTTTTTTAGAGATTTCTTCGATTTTTCTGTCCAGTAAACTACAAGTAATCGTGTTTCTAAAGAATGTGATTTATAGAGTGAATCCTTAAATATATCATACATTAATTTCATAACGAAAGCTTTAAGAATAACGATACAGCAAGGGATCAAACGAATGCAATTATTTCGCAATTACGTAACGCTGCCTCGGCGCAGTCTTAAGAAGCAAGCACAGCGCACAAAAAAATTTGCTCATTTACTATATGATGAGGATGAAAACTAAGTTCAGACTCACTAGAATTTATCCAGCAATTTATGCAACGCCATGACCTGTAGTCTTTTTGCAGAAGCCTGCACTAGCTTAACTGGGTCACAGTATATGTGTTGGTGCTTCGGAGGCGTCTCGACGTTGCGTTTGTTGCGGCCCTTCTTCTTTTTCTCATTTTGTTTGTACGCTTCGAAAGCTGATATTTCTGTAGAGTTTTCTATAATGGAAAATTTTAGAAAAATCACCAACATTTCAGATTGTTCTTATGGTTTCCTACAGAATGGTCGTTACCGCGAACAGAAGTCGATCCCTCCTACGTAAAGTATGTAAACTAAAGACCTAAAAACTTGGTAATTTCGACATACGATACTTTACGGAGGCGGGGTCGAAGTGGTCATTTTTATTTGCTTCAAAAAATTATCTATCTATCTTCATAGCACGAAGTACACACTTTTAGCGCATAAACTACCTATACACGTCCCACTACTGCACACAAATTTTAGGAGAGTTTCAGGCTGTTAGTTGGTACACCTCGAAGCCGAGGTCCTGGCGGAGGTCCGCACCTACCGGCGGGGAATGAGGGACCGAGGCGAGCGACCCGCTCCCCAAGAGGTGGAGCGGGAGCGCCGCCTCGCGGCGCAGCGCATGCGGGACCGGTGGAAAGAGGGCTTGGCGGATCCCCCCTATGGCGCTCGTACCATAGAGGCGATCCGCCCTGTCCTCGTAGAGTGGGTAAACCGGTCCCACAGGCCACTGTCGTACCACCTTGTGCAGGTGCTGACCGGGCACGGCTGCTTTGGTCACTACCTGCACAAGGTGGCGAGGAGGGAACCGTCCCCGTCGTGCCACGAGTGCGGCGCTGCGGATGACACCGCGCAGCACACCCTAGAGGTGTGTCGCCGGTGGGATGAGCAGCGCCGCACTCTGACGGGGACTGTAGGGCAGGACCTCTCGCTGCCTAGCGTGGTTGCCGCCATGCTCGATAGCGAGGAGTCCTGGGAGGCGGTGGCCTCCTTTTGCGCAGAGGTTATGTCGCAAAAGGAGGCCGCGGAGCGGGTGCGCGAGGACGCGGCGGACGTGCACCCGCTCCGGCGCAGACGTACGGGGAGAAGGCGAAGGCAGTTCGCTGCTCGCCTGATCCCCTAGTGAGACCAGCGGGCTCTGGACAGGGACTCCGGAGCCTGCATTGCACGGCCTCACTCGTCTGGGGGGCGGATCGGAGGACAACCGACTCGCCCCTCCGTTGGCGCGGGAGCCCTGGCGTAAGCTAGGGCGGCCGGGCGGCGTCGTGGTGAATGTTCACTGATCCCACGGCGCCGACTCAACCAGCGAGAGGGAAACCCGGGGGGGTTTTAGTGGGGTAGGCCCTCCAGTCTGGAGGGAGAGTCCCCACATAACCCCTGAGTCTCCCTGTGCTCAAGGGTATCCATAAAGATTTCCCCTCCGTAAAAAAAAAAAGGCTGTTAGTTGGCATATCTATCATTTTTGTAAGAAATTGGAGGAATGGGGGTAGCAAGCGATTTTTTGGATCATATAAGTCGCGTCTAGCCTTGGATGTCTGGCGGACTGATAGGCCACAAAGACAGCCTCACTTGATTGACAGGAATTCAACATTAGACCGACTTTCTTTTGGACAAAAGACGACGACCGACTGTTCTTTCTTCTGTCAAAGGACGATGAAGGCAGTCTTGACTTAACCTCTGACGCGAGCAGACTGTTACTTCTATACAATATTCGTGATGCAGTTAAAATAACTTTAAAAACATATTCAACTTAAATTTGTAATGATTTACAATTATTTTTTGTGAAATTACTCCATAAGTTTGTTATAATTATTAATACAAATATGGAATCGATCTTTACAAATTTAATTACAGTTAATAGCGACATCTCTAGCCAGAGCTGGTAGCTGTAAAGTTACCTAACTGGGTGACGAAATACTTTCATAGATTTCTCATAGATGGCGCTACGACTAAAAAGTCGTTGAAACCCAAATACAAAGATCCGATAAAAGGCACATAGAAAAATTCGTGAGGTCCCCTGGTTGTCCCGTGGTTTAGTTGGCATAGCATTTGGCACGGTTTGCTAGAAGACGTCGGTTCGAATCCGGCTGGATCTAAGGAATTTTTTGTAAGTGTTCGATCTTTGTATTAATAATTATAACATATTCAACTTACCAATCAATTCTAAATCAATGTCACCATTAGCGACATTTTCCCTTTCCCCTTTCTTTCCAAAATCTTCCCTGCGTATCTTTAATGTGCAAGGTCCCAATTGCGCAACATCACATTGGCCAGTGTACATGTACCTTAGGATTCGTTCAAATACTTCAGGGTGCACGTTTTCCAATGTTATAATTGGTTTTTCTGATGTCCTTTCCTGGTACAGTTTGTATAGATGTTCGCTGTGGGTGGCTAATATGTAGGCGTGAACTGGGAATAATTTTGGGCCGACCTGCGGAGGAAATTTTTTACGTAAACATCGAGGGTTTTGGGACAATCCAGGATGTGTATACATATACATTGTATACACATTACACACAGCCAAATTAAATTATTTTAATCCGATTTATGTACTGCCGTTTTAGAGTGAATACCACATATGCGATTTCTAAGTTCAGGACGAACTTAAAAATGTGGTGTAAAATATAGTACATACAATAATGCTAACTGCATTTTAATTAGTTAAATTATACCTCTTTCAGGTGATTTATTATTACCTTGATGCAAGTTTTGCTTAAAAAAAAAATTACAATTAGAATGACAGTAAGTCGTCATTTTCTTACCTTAAAAACTAAATCGTGCAGTGTATCATCTTCTGACGCGGTTTCCATGACAGTTTCCATGTCCTTTACCATACTGGATGACGATAATTCTGGTAGAGACGTTAGGCCACACGTCGGTTTTATCTGAATATTGTTTTTATTTTGTTAAAATGGAATAAATATTGGTAATAAATTAAATCAATATTCTACTAGATTGACCAGTTACTGATTGACCCTAAATGTTGTTGTTCACTATCGATTTTTACCTTAAATGACGGTGTTGTCAAGAAAGAAAATTAGTTCTAAATTCCGTAAGATGGCGAAGGTTTACAGGTTTTTTTTCAGTATTTAATGCAACGCCACACCTACTTTCGTCTTTCGTCTTCTGTCATTCAGAGGTTACTATTTTGGGATGCAGTGCGTCTCTATGGGAAAATAGCAGTTGATTTGGTTAAGTGTGGCGCTAGATTTAGATTCCCTTTAGGTCCTTTATTTAAATTCACTGTGTGAAAATTATTACCGCATGACAAAGACGGCATGCGCTACCTACATAATTTCAGCTTGCATCAAAATAATAGGTGTTTATGAACCAGTTCAAAAATATCTATCTATATCATAATATAATTATGTTCCAATTCTTTTTAAATACATTGGTATCTATATCTTGAAAAGATAAAGAAATGTATACCTGTAAACAAGCGAAATTCAATCCCTCGTTATCGACAGCAATCGCCACAGCTCTATGTACGTTAGGAATTCTCGCGATCTTGACAGAAGTACAGTCGTCCTTTTCTAAAAACTTGACAAGTGCAGACTTGTTGTTATCTTTCTCTTTCTCTCTCCTGATTGGCTGAGGCTGAGTGGGCGGGGCTTTGCGCGATATGTAGCCAACGAACGCTTCACCGTATTTAGTCGTGAAATATAAAGCATCATGGGTTAATGTTACGTTGGTTATCACCGTTTGATGCGTTAGGCCGAATACACATCTGTAAGGAAACATTTCGTTACTATACCATTAAAGAAGGATATTCCAGGAGGCACTTTTAACTATAAATGAACAACTTTTAACTATAAACGAACAACTTTCACCTTTCTGGTTAAGCGGTTAACAAATATGAGTACTTGATGATGAGAACCCCGGGTTTGATTTCCAGACCAATTTGGGAAACAAATTTTTCTGAATTGCTTCTTGTCTAGATGTTCTGAGTAGTGCATCGGAGTTAATTTGTTATGGTATTCATAGTATGTTTAATTTTTTTTATATGTACCACATAACCACACCAATTGGCTGGTCTCTAACTAGAGAATTCCCCGTACTATGAGTACCAGAGCAACGGAATACACTCTGGGGCACTTCCCAGAACCGATTTAGAAAAGTTAATTTCCTAAATTCGTCTTACCGGGAATCGAACCCGGGACCTCTGCATCCGGCGCCCACAATATAAACCGTTAGGCCACCGAAGTTCAGAAGCCTACCACAACCTCTTAAAACAATATTACTTTAACCTTACATTGACTTTTCGTACCATAACGCGCTTAAAGTAAGCTTATTGTAATGTTAATGTAACTATGATGTTTTATTGGCAGCTTTGTGACTATTCATTCACTCAATTCGTACTATGACGCGACTTTAACATTAAAGTAATATTGCTCTTATGTCAAATTTAGCAATCTTAAAATAGTTACACGGATGCAATGGAAACAATTTTATTTTCAGTTTTATTATCTTAATATTGATATGTAATGATTAAAAGTTAAGTTGAACTTATTTATTTACATATATCTCTTCAACATTTTGTTTATTTTTTATTGAATAGCATATAATAAATAACTTTTTGTTAAATAATAACACGCGATGTATTTCGTAAAATTATAACAACGCCATTTACATACTCCTTGGCGAATCTAACAGTTGACACTAGACTATAGTTCCGAATCATAATGTGACTATCAAGACTCAGTTTGTTTTATTTATTTTTCTTCATGAAAATGCGGAATAATATACTACGATAAGATGATTTGGAACATCAAAAAAGAAAGAGATGGCACTATATAGTTCACATAACGTTATCTCTTTCCTATTTTTAGTAAGGAATAGACAATATTGGGAAATCATTCGTTCTTTCAATCACTTTAGCAATAATACATTACTTGGTTAACAAGTTCGTCATGGTACGAATATGAGTAATATTATAATAAGCTTATTTTAAGCTTACATTGAAATAAGATTGTTTTTGGAAAGGTTATGGTAGGCCCCCAGGTTATAATGACATACATTGCATTTATGTATAATGTGATGTAGGTCTTTTTTACATATAATTTATTTATTTTAATGATTAATCTAAATTTAATAAGTAATAATTAGTCCCGCAGATTTTCTTCACCACAACTTGGGTAGGCTAGAGTACATGTATGTATTGTATAATTCTTTAGTTACAGAATAAGGAATTCCCTAATTTGAGACCAAATAAACACGAAATCGTGAGTTCTCGGCTTTTAGCAACACATCTTTCGCATTTTTTGGGATATACCATTATTATGATTATTACATACCTTGTAAGTTGATTTGTTGTGTCCTGCCAAATAAGTAGCTGTCCAACGTTGGTTAGCAAAAGTACAGTGACTCTCGAGTACACGCCTTGCTCGCTCACCTTAGCCTCCACACATACTTGGCGTAAATTTATTTGCCTGGAAAGTAAAGCGGTATACTGTAAAACATATATAAATTATTGAAAGTTTTTCTGATTCCATGATTATTTCTGTTGAGCAGATTCGTCATTTTTGCCTTATTAACATCTTTACAAGTTAAATTGTAGTTGGAAATCCGACCGTGTTCACAGTATAGTTCAATTTAAATCTGAAGTGCACAGTTGAGCGTGTCACCGAGTGTACAGAGTCAAGAGCAAGTCAAGCTTGGCAATTAAGATTTAAATTCAATTCTATGACGCTTACAATAAAAAACAATCCAAAATCAGTCACGCTTTTTTATAATAATGTCTAGTTTCCTTATTAATATTAAAATTCAAAATTAATATTAATTTTGTCTGTGCTTGTGTAATAAACAGTTTTCTTTCTTTCTTTCTATTTATTATTCTACCTTTTTATTTTTTTTCTTTGGATAATTAATGCGTGCACAGAATTTGGATTTTTTTAAGTCTCTTTCTCTCCCATGAGGTCGTAGTTAAATCGTTGAACATAAAAACTTACAATTACAATATTTATATCATTGAATATCATGGATGTTTTACTACCCTATTAATTTATTTTTATGATAATACTCCACTACTTTGTTATAATTATTAACACAAAGATTGAACAACACTAAGAAAAAATTGTACGATCTGACTGGACTCGAACCAGCGAATGTTGCCTCAACGTGGCAACGTGAGTAGGTTTTTATTGTTTTGTTATTTATTAATACAAAGATCAAATACAAAATTCCTTTGATCCTGCTGAATTCGAACAAGCGCCGACATTATACTGTGACTTACGCTCTCTTAACGAAGCTACGGAACGAAATTTTTCTATGTGCTTGTTCCAGATCTTTCTTTTTGGTTTTTAATGGAAGCGCAAAATAAATTCATCGCATCAGAACTCCTCCATCAGGTAAACAGTGATATACGATTTTTATCGTAAAATCAGAACTCTACGCATTTTTCTGATGCAGTTGCATGAGAAATGAATTTTTGCACTGCACGGCACTAAAGAGCCATTCATTCAACGGAACGACTTTTATGCCGTAGCGCCATCTGTGAGAAATATGTGCAAGTTTTTCTTCACTCAGGTACCGTTCCCACAGATTACTTAATCCTTTACCACAGCTACTAACAACGATTTACTACCGTGATATTTAATTATTTTTTGGGAAATTACTACACTAGTTTGTTATAATTATTAATACAAAGAGCGTTTTGTTATTTATTATCCACGGTTTGTTATTAATTAAAGAAAGTATTGTTATTTATTACCGAAATGTGAAATCTTATAGTAACGACGACGACGATAGTGATTGAATATTGCGTGAGGTGTGTTTGTGAAATGTTCAGGGAATTTATGTCTTTCAAGTCTTAAACATAGAACTAAAGAGGTATATTTATTTAATATTTACGTGCTTTGTGACGTAAGTCATTCGTCATTAAAACTTATATTTACTTACAAACATCTTATTTGTTTAAATTGCATAGGTGTTTTATAAAATAACGGGTCACATTTAAAAATACCGAAATATTTTCCATAAAGATGGCTGATTGTGTATTAATAATGACCGGAGGTGAATATTACGCCGCGCCACTAAGATATACTGTTTTATTTTACTTTCAATGTAGTTTTTTCGCAAATGTATTAAAAAACGTCGTTTGATACACGTGCGGATTTGTTATTTTCACTTGTCTCGAGAAAAAACCTCGAGACTCGTGAATAATGACTAACTTTCCGCACTTGTATCAACAATAACTATTTTATGTAGGTAGTTGTTAGAGTATACGATATCGTGAGTTATAAATATGTAAAAATATATTACAAGTCATTTAAATGCCGTATTAGTACGGGAAAAATTGGAATTCAAGCTGAGGTAGTATCGACTCTTAACAGACATTCATACCACACTTACTTGATAGCAATCTTCTTGCAAATATGCTTATGCAGCAGATAAACGTCTCCGCGACTCGTAGTTATGACTGTGGCCGCGTCTGCCGCATCTACCAGCTGGATGCCAGCTTCTTCTTTGTTATTCATCGATATTGCCACCTGGAAAAAAAATCAAAAGCTGTATGAAGAACCAAGTAATAATAATGTGACAGAATATCATATCACTGGATCAAAACTGTTGTAAAAATTCCACAATTTGCCGCGGAATGTGTCTTTGAGAAATAAGTTTAAAGAAATTAACATTCTTACACTAGCGTCACAGTACATTTATGAAAATGTAATTTAAGTTAAAAATAATAGTTTATTTATGAAAAATAGTGACAGACACAATTTTATTAAGAGGCATAAAAAGAAACTAGCTGTTCTTGACAGTCGTCTTCACAAAGTCACTTAAATATAATAAGATTCCGGTTGATATTTAAAATTTGCCTTTCACGAGGTTTAAAAACTATAGTGAAACAAAATCTTTATACTAAAAAATTTATATACAGTTTCTGCGTACTTGGATGACAAAAATCGCTGGTTTAGCTCTTGCATATTATCTTGATCAATGATGTTTAAAAGAAATATTTTAAATGATAAATGTATACAAAGGTTTATTTGCAAAGAGAGGAATCTGCCTTACGAACAGTGACAGTGTGGACTATGTAAGTAGAGTTTAATAATCGTGACGATTCGAGTGCTTACAAATGAGCATATTGAACATGGCTTATTGAACTTTAACACAATTGTGTAATGTATAAACTAGAATTATGTTATTATACTAAGTGACGGGACGAACTAGTCGTGCGCCTAATGATAAGTGACACGCCTACTCATAATAGTTACAGTTTACCCCCTGATATAAAAATGATAAATAATAATCTTCTATTTAAACGTCAGCTGATGTCAGGCTAAGAGATAAACATTTCTATTCAATTAATGACTTCTTTACATATAATTGTCAATAAATTTAACCACTTAACTTATTTGATAAGGAATGTATTTATATTTTTTAAATTTTTTGACATCTTCATGACATGGCAATAACTTACTATTATAATATGTTATCTTTATACATGATAGGACTTGCTTTAGAATTGTTTAGCTGCCAAAATGTTGACATCCATAGATTTGCATGTCGATAGCGGTAAAATATGAGTACTGTTTTATTATGTATACCTGTACCACCTATTGTAAACCATATTTTAAGCAAATAAATATCATTTATCATCATTCACAGTACCACACAGAGGTTAAAATCTCAAAGATCTGAGAGGCACTGCCACTGCGCCGTCACCCTCAGACATAAGTCGAAAATCCCATGTGACTGTAATTTCAACAGCACCCTTGCCCCCAAAACGAGTGCGCAGTAATGCTCACATTATTGCTTGGCGGCAGAAATAGATAAGATTACTTGCCTGGACGAACTCTTTCACGAGAGCTCTACTGCTACTACTAGATATTCAAAAGGTATGTAACTTAGAAATTTAAGGGTCGTATTCCAGAACTGTACTCAATGCTCAAGCCAGGATTTAAGCAGACTTGAGTATGATTTCAAGCACTGAAAATACGACCCTAATGGCAAGGACTTGAATATGATTTTCATTGCTCACTGCAATACTCAAATCAGGACTTGAGTATTGAGTAGAGTTTTGGAATACGACGCTAAGACACAGAGAGTTGAAGTTGATCTCAATTAAGATGCAAGCATTCGCTAATGCGCTCATAAAAGTTCTCTCACTAGAATTTATCCAGCGATTTATGTAACGCCATGACTTGTAGCCTCTTTGCAGAAGCCTGCAGAAGCTTAATTGGGTCACAGTATATGTGTTGCTACCCCGGAGGCGTCTCGACGTTGCGTTTGTTGCGGCTGTTCTTCCCTGGATGAACTCTTTCACAAGGAGCTCTACTGCGACTGTTCACGTTGACGTCTTTATTTATTCACTATGTGCAGATCGTGGCGTTCAACTCTTTCTATCGTCACTACGTATGTAAAGTGGAGTTCTACTTACACGTTTTGGGGCAGGTACAATTTTGTCTTCCTGCGGATGTCCCAACTGCCCCAAGTTTGTACCCCAGGTGTAAATAGCTCTTGTGTTCCATACAACAGCATGTGATCTACCGGCTACTACTCCGAGTGGGTGAGACAGTTTCATCAAAGGCTTAATGTTTGGCAGTTTGATCATTGACGGTGTCTTGGCACTGGATTGACTCACGTTATCTGTTGTGTTTAACGTGTATTGCATTACCTAAAAAAAACCATAATGTGCTATAGTCTGACTTTTTGAAGATGGAATAAAATGACAGTTCATTGTACAAAAGTGTTGCCCGCTTGTAAGCAGCAAGTGATTGCAGTCGATAAATATTCTATCGATTGTCGATTGAATGTTGGTCACGGTTATGCTATAAATCAGAGATTCCCAAACTTATATTGTCTACTGCCCACTTTGAGAATAAATTATTTTTTAGCGCCTCCGTTTTTTCACCTACTTAAAAACCATTATAACTTCAAATTAAATTAATGATTGTGAGCTATAATAGCGGAGATTAAACATTCATTCTAAACGAGACTTTTACTATAACCCGCAAGAGTTAACTTGAGACCTGAGCGCAGTAGGCAGTACACAACGGCGCTCAGGTATCAAGTTAACTCTTACGGGCTACACCTGACAATGAGAATGATTATTGAAACGCAACTTTATATAGTATTCAGACAGAGTATCTTTTATTCAAAATAAAACAAACATAATCGATTCTAATATAAAAATTAATGTGAAAGATGAATCTTATGCTGTTTAATAAGTTTGTTGACATTAGGTTCCAATTTACTCAAGAACCGCAAGTCACCACGTTTGGTAACATACAAACGATTTCTCTTTTTAGTAAGCAGCGTTGTCACAGCACTAAAACCACGTTCATACAATGATGAAAAAATGGGAATGCTATCAAGAATCGTTGAACGATTGACCACAATCCAGTATACAATTGCGGGATCGGTTTTTGTAGCCAAAATTCTTGGTAGCCATTTTTGAACTTGATTTTCGTTCGTTGTCAATACTATAAGTTCTTCTTCCAGCTGAGGTGATATTGCTGTGTTGACATTTGAAAACAGATCCAACACCCAGTCTGGTATTTCCAAGTTCAAAATGTCCAGGTATCGTTCGGTAAAGTCAATGTGGAGGTTTTCCAAATGTTGGCAGTAGGCAAACAAGTCGTCATTACTGCAGGATACTGATAAATTCGGAAAATTGTGAAACTCACGTCTACCCATATTCTTTTTGTGTAGAGAAGCAGTTTGGCTGCGAAAGCAGTAACGACATTTTTTGTTTTAATTAAATTTAGTTCATCGCCTTGCAGTTGGAGAATCATGTCGTTGAACAATTTATACAGGTCTGTCATGTAAGCTGTATCATTCTTTGATGTAATTAGCAACAAAATGTTGTCTATGAATGACGCAATGTACAGCAAGGACATCTGGAATTTTATTTTTTAAGTACGCTATGAAGCCTTAATGGCACCCTGTCATATATATTCCGCACAGTATTGCCGTCTCTTCTTTTTTACTTCCGACATAGTTTTGTTTTGAGAAATACGTAAGTAAGTGTTGAAACTTAAGTACAGCTTATCTATTACGCGCGAAACCGCAAATGAAAAGAAAATAAATATGACATGATTTTTATTTTATTTATTCAATAAAACAGGACAGAAATATGAACTACACAGAGAGAAATATCGAACCGAGTTAGTTTGAGCAATCTTTTAATTAATATTAGTTGATGTTCACAAGTTGTAGACGACAGTCGAGAGCTCAGTCGGTATCTAAACCTCTACACAACGCCCCCATTTTTTTTTCTGGGTCTCTTACGGCCACCCTTTAGTCCTGCAGCGCCCACAAGGGGGTGTTATCGCCCACTGTGAGAAAGGCTGCTATAAATAATCATTGGCTCATTATTTAGTCCAACTGCTGGGCACAGTATTTATGTAAGTTCATTCGAATTGTCTATTAAAAATACAAAGAAGATACATATAATGTACATAAATAAAAAAATATTTCGATATTAGTAGGCCCACTGTCAAAATAAGAATGAAGAAGGCAACAACGCAATTAGTAATAATTAGAACATCGTAATTGGTAACATGTTACCTTCTTTTACAGTCTATCGATAACATTGTCGACAACACTATATGACCGTTTAAAATTTTATGAAAACTGGCAATCCTGCAAGTGTTATTTTACTCCGTCGTCATAGATACCTGCACCAATTACCAGGTCTCAAACTGGTCTGTCGACCTCTCATTTGAGAAAAAGTCGTTCTCCCACTAGGCTTCTATCGCTATTTAACAAGCACAATAACAACACACAAATTGACGGTGAAATGTGACAGGTTTCAAATTCGTTGAAAAATGTAATAGTTATAAGTATTTACAAACCAGTAGCGAAGGCAATACTCGTTTGTGACATCACCCTATTGGCGTCATGCAAGCTATATGCACAATATGATTGTTTTGCTAAAAAGAGATGGAGCATGCCCCACAACTAACTTTAACTATTACTTAATTCATATCCAGCATAAATAAAATAAATTAAACAAAATCCTTAATATTCACTCAGAGCGGAATGTAAAAAAATTATTACTAATTGGCTGACCACTCTCGACTACGAGTCGACTGAAAACATACTTACTTTACTGAAATAGGTAGGATTCACACACACGCACTCACGCACGCACGCACGCACTCACACACGCACGCACTCACACACGCACGCACGCACACACGCACTCACACACACACTTTTGCACTAGATAGCCTATGCTTTATTTTGCAACTTCTTTGTATTTTTATTTTAAGTTTATGTTGTTTATAGCTTATATTGACAGAAATAAAGGATATTGTATTGTATAGCAAGTTTATAAATTTTCTTCAGGTTAAGAGAGCACTACGATGCAAAAAAACCACAGGCAAATTTTATTTGGAGAAACAGAAACTACCCAATATAGAAGAGCAAAAAGATCGAAGTTCATTTTATCGCAGACGATTTGCCGAAAGTGAAATTTAAGTTTCATTTCATCGAAAGCTTCATTGGTTGATCGTCAAAAAGATATAATGCTTAATTGATCAATTGTTCATTAGGTCCGATGTGAGAAGTAATACTTACAGTTCCACTCTGTAACAACATAACAGTAGACGACAGTGTGACCGCAGCGCAGACAACAGGCTCTGGGGTCTTCAGTAACGTTGGCTGCAAAGCTGTAGAGTGTGGTCCGCCGGCCCGGGCAGTTTGCCCGCAACACCATACTTCGCCGTCTGTGACTCCCGAGCACACCCACACACTGTGGAATTTCCCTAGGCACACCTGGAAGAATAAGAGGTGAGGATTAGCAGGATGTGAATGGCGTATATTCGGGCAAAAAATTTAATACCTTATTTACAATGCCGCGAAAAGGAATTTAAGAGAATTCTTCTGTGGGGCAGCTATACCCAAAGGGTATATCGCTCAGGGCTCTGCGTAAGTAATATAATAACGTCTTTAGGACGTTGCTGCGGTTGCCACGGCTCTGCAGTGCGTCTGCCATGTTTGCTGAAACTCGCGTCGACAGCGTCATGGCACTCTTACGGAAGAAGTCGGCGTCTTTATTGAAGAGAATACGCGGCAGCAGCCATAGCCTCCTGAAGACTATCGCGGCTAGGAGTGAGTGCCCCATAATGCGGCATTTAATAACAAGCACAAAATCCATAGTAGAATTTGGGAACTAACCTAATTATAAATGTATCATTACTAACACTTCATGGATTTCTGTCGTCCGTAATAAAGATTTATTTTTATTATTATAGCGTAATGAGCCTTATGTCAATTGTGTAACGTACAAACTAGATACCTATATACTTTTACCTCGATGACGCCATTGTTATATCGCGACTGTCTTTATGCATAAAAAGTGTGAAACGCGCGCAACAAGAACGATACACTAGGTTCTCCTCCGTATCATTGAGTATCCAATACAAAAATTTATAGATTAAAAAAAGGACTATTTAGCAGCATTGTAATTAGTGTTTCTTTCAAATGTTATCAGACTAAACAATTGATAAAGATTAAATTATACAGTACAGTTTAATTGAAACTTGAATAATACAAGAAAAGTAGAATAAAAGGAAATATAAAAACAATTTATATACGAAAAAAAATAGACAGTTAAATGCCAAATGACATTTACTAGAGGAAATTATATTTCACTTCACGTGTCTCAAGTTATGATGGTGCATTGGCGGCACTGGCATGCCGTATGGTGCTATCTGTGGTATATGTCGATCACCATAATCCATAGGACGATATTGAAACGTTTGAAATGGATTAGAAGCTGACACAACTTTTACTATCCTCTTAGGAGCTTCGTCAGCAAAAATCATATTCTCTAATGATGTTTCAGATTGCTGAGGGTGTGGTTTGGGTCCCTCTATCTTGATCTTTCGAAATGGCAATATAGGTGCATTAACAGCCATAGATCCGAGTAACGGTTGCCCTCTCAAAATGCAATAAGCAAATAATATTATTAAAGCAAAGGCAATAGTCAATAGGACAAAGTACATTATCAATTTGGTTTTATTCGCTATAACCGCTTTTCTTACAGCCTGAAGGCAACCTTCTGTATGGATGTAAGGTTCTATTTTTTGTGCTGTCAACGTACAATTTATAAACATAGGTGTCATAGCAGTTTTATTAGATAATATACAACATTGAATTGGGTAGAATTTCTCCAAGTTATCTTTATGCCAATTGGTGTAGGAGAAATCTTTAAAATCGTGTACACCACAGCATTCGAAATTGACCATAAGAAAATTCCATATGTGTGTAAACATGTCGTCTTCTTTGCCGTAATTATTTTTCAATGAATCAACCATAATGTAATTAATTTTGGGGCTGTTCGTATAGATGTTGTAAATTATCGACACAAAAAAAAACCACCCGAATGCAATAGAGAGTAAAGTTACAAGGAATATATAGGATTTTGCTGCACACTTAAATTGGCAACCTGCACTCATAATACCGCAGCAGGAGGTCATTATAACTATCACAGCTATTGGTATAAAAATTGACTTGAGAGGTGTGAACCAAATTTTGAGATTCACGAAATAGGCTATATCGTATACTATGTTGGCTCTTGTAATGTTGTAATTAACATCTCGGAAAAAATCCGTATTCACGGCACACCAAACGCAAATAACCAAGCCTGCACTCCCGAGTATGAAGAATAGTACATTGGTACAACCGAGACAAGTTCTCGGTAGACCGACTGTATGCATTTTGATTTAATCCTAAATTGTAAAGAAAAAATATTAAAGAATATAAATAATTTTGTGCATGACAGCCGACATTGTCAGTTGGCGTTTGAAGAACAGTTTGACATTTGTGTCATAACGTTTTTAGGCCAGTTTAATTTAGAAGACAAGGTTTTTTTTTAATGAATGACAAAAGAGATTCTTATCTCTCACTCGCTCTCTCTCACTCTCACCGTTCTGGTGCAACAAAAAGATTGCATATCATTAAACAACACAGCTCCAGTCATTTTGAGTAATTTGGAGAGTGTAAAAACTACACATTATGTGTACAAGATTTTTATGTTATTATTAGTAATAAGTGCTCTATTTATGTTATAGTGTTGGTTGCACAATTTTTATTGAGATTAGCTTTTGACTACAGTAAAGTTGAAAAGAAAAATCCGTCAATTTTCGACTTGGGCTGTGTTGTTTGCGATATTACTGGTGATCACACGCGTATTAAAATCGCAAAACACAAATTCTGATAATTTTGTTGCTCCAGATGGATAGTGAACAGCCACTAGATATGATGGTTAGCTGTGAATAGTGAGGAAGCAGTCCCCAACTGATTAGTGGCAGCGTTAGTAGGGAACCCTGTGGGAAGAGCTTGTCTAATAAAATACTACACAAATCCTATGGCAACGACTGTGGCATGGCGAATAAAAGCTATTTTGAAAGCATTCCCCTAGCAACGGACAGCGGCGGTGCTTGTACTAGCAGAAGGCGGATGATAGGTTTTTAGAAATGGCTTCTGACTTGGATATCAGCGGGCGACCGATCGGCCGATGAACCGCTGTGCAGAAGGCAAGCGGGAAACCACTGCACAATATTTCCCGAACATGTAACAAGATTGAGTGGTTACACCGACAAGAGTCCTGGCTCTTAAATGGGATTATGACGATGATATATTTGCTACGAGTATGAATACCAAAAGTAGCATTTAAAAAAAAATACTAATACAAAGATCGAACAATAACAAAATTTCCTTCTGAGCGAAGGAAGTTTTGTTAAGTGTTCGATTTTATAATTATAACAAACTAGTGGGGTAATTTCACAAAAAAAAATTGAATATCATGATAGTAAGACATCATGACATTCAATAAACTTAAGTTTTTTATTTTTTTATGTAAAATAGGAGGCAAATGAGCGCACGAGCCACTTGACGTGAGCCATCTTCGCCCATCGACATCTGCAATAACCAGAGGAGCTGCCTGCATTAATAAATGCCAGTTTAATAGCTTTTTGAAGAGCCCTATGTCATAGCGCAAAAGAAATACTTCAGGAGGGAGAGCACTCTACATTTTGCAGGTTCGAAAAAAGAACGAACGTGAACCCGCGTGGTTGTAATATGTATGTGTGCATGTATAGTCGCACAGTATGGTGGCATCATATTGTTACACACCGTAGTTTTAATTAGAAAATGTGAAGAATTTAAATTAAAAAATGTAATAACTGACATTAACGTACAAATTCAAGAAATAGTTGCAATAAAACGTTTTAAGTGTTTTTGCTGCACATACAGTAAGGTCTACATAAACTCATTGAAAATATTCACCCTTTATTGATGAGTCTATTTCCAAGTCTAGAAATATTTTCAACAGTCACAGACCCATCACAGACTCTACCATAATAGACAACTGTGACAAGGGGAGTCGTTAAATATGTTTCCTCAAATATGTTTCCTGTTTTTATTCCAGGTAGTGTTGGGTCATGGAAAAAAGTCCACTTTAAAAAAAAATCTTATTTTTCAGAAAAATAAACATTTTTCCTTTAATTTTCCAAATTTGACGTTGACACCGGTTGAAGTTACTGAACGAAAACGATGGAGCCAATAAAAAGGTTTTTTCGCTGTTGAGAATTAATTTTAAATCTCGTTTTTCTTCATGTGGCTTAGCTATGCAAGTTTATTTTATAATTCACGCTAAATAAAACTAAAAAATATTTCTAAACGTAGAACGTAATATGAGCCTTGGAAATTGTATTTTTCCAATCTTTAAAAATTTTTCGAGACGTCGAGAGAAACGAGAGTTGTAAACGAACAATGTTTTTGACCATAGACTCTAGTCTCAGGTTCCAGGCGATCATAAAAACCAAAGGTGTCTTACCTGTTTAACACAAGTATTAGTTCGACTGAAACACTTTAGCATTTCAGGCACATTTCTTTGCTGCTGAGTGCCCGTGGCCAGAGTGTAGTTGGAGTTGCTCCCCCACACGTAAACGTCACTGGGTTGGTCCCCTTCATGTTTATACATGTATTGGCGATCAAGCATTGCGTGCTCGAGAGCTTTGTAGTCATCCTTGTCTACTATGTCAGTGTTTACTCCTGAAATGGAGAAGTTTTATTGTTATGTAAATTTGATTCATAAAAAATGGTTTCAAACTTTTTGTAGATGGATAATTGTATTATGTAGACTACTACTACAAAAAAGAAGGAAACCTAATCGACCTCAAACTTAGCATCTGTTCTCATTTACTGTAAGTAGATTATTGCAGTAAATAATTTTGTTCCATGCAAGTAGGGTTACCATTTCGAAATTTGAATATGTGGGACAAAAATTCTAACGTTTGCAAGAAAGTCTGGACTTTTTAGTACAAAATAAAATAGAAAATTTCTCTCTCACGCGGTAGCAGAGAAAGACAAGCGCCCGGGCAATGTGGATATCTTTTTATTCTAAAAATTGTTACTAAGCCGAAAAATCTGTACAAATCCGGACGGATGGTAACCCTACAATCAAGTCAATTCTAAGATTATGCACATTTAGAAGATAGTCTTGTAAGTTTCAATGTAGCCGATATAAAAGGAATTAAAAAGAACAATTCTTACTAATTAAATTAAATATATATTACGTAACTTAACTTTCGACGAGAAACCGACTATAAATGGCTCTATGGTTACCAAGTCAAATATAATATGATGAAATTATGCAACGTCAGCATTGTAATCTCGTGTTTAAAAATAACGGGAAAAGACCAAGGTTAAGAGATAAGAATTGAATAATAAATTATGATAATTTTTGGGTTGTCTCTAGCCACTGTACTTTTTTAAATATTTTATAGAACATGCAGTATTACACGCATGCTAGATTTATTTTAAGCGCGCAGTGCACAAGTCACGCATTGTTTGCTCCATGTAAGTAATAAATAGCACGAAACTGTAAAACTGCATTTAATTCTTCAAAGTTATGACGGAATTTACAGTTCAAATTCAAAATTAATCTGTTAAAAGGTTCGCAAGATCAGCAGTTGTAAACACATTAAAATGAATATTGTATAACTGGCATCTGTTTAAATAAACTGTTTATTTAAACATTTTGTGTATAACTTTAACAATCTTACAGTGAAAATGCTTGATATATAGTTATATTACAATAATACATATCGACGATGGAAAGTTAAAGGGAATTTGAGGGAAAATGCTTTTACGACAAAATTTCCCTTACGAAATCTTAAAATTCGATACATCAACAAAATCATTACCTTTATATCGACTGTGGATTTGAAATGTCGTAAGGGACATTTTTCCTTACGACATTTCAAATTTCCACCATCGATTTGATTTCAAATCAAGTGCACTACCCATCGTTTCGACGCAATTGCGACGCGACGTGTATTGGACGCAATTTATAGTGGCACATATACAGTAACAAATAACACTTACTAATAATTAACTCGTACCAAGCCTCTGCCACGGTATGGCGAGGTCGCTGGTTCGAGTATAGTCGGATCGAAGGAATTCTTTACGTTCGATCTGTGTATTAATAATTATTGGTAAATGTTATTTGTTACTGTATATTTGGGCGAAGATCAATTATAAGTAAAATTATTTTTTGTCAGAGAAATTAAGGAGTCAATCAATCATCTATTGACATAGATCTGTTCAGTACCAGTGTAGGCTCGATTCGACGAACTAAGCAATATTTTACTTAATTACGTATCTCTCATTATTTTGTTTCCTGTTTTTAAGATGTGCATGTAGTTGGTTGGGCTATTTAGGGTTAATATTTTTCCCGGATCGGTAAGTCTACACGTTAAGTGCACCTGTTCGCAATGTGTAAAATAATATTATGTTGTTTACATTTCATTCCTAATGTTTTAATGTCTGTTGACTAAATTATTTTTTGTGCTACTTGTGGAGATTTGTAATTAGCATTTTCACCTCTTACTTAACATATATTTATTGTTATAAATTGGCTGTAAATCTTCCAAAAATAAATAAATAAAGTAATAATTATAATAAACTAATGGAGTAATTTAACAAAAATAATTTAATATGATGGTAGTAAAACATCGTGATATTCAATAAACTTAATATATAACACGTACCAATCTTCAACAAGGCGACAGCAGAGTGTATTTGCCCATAGAATATACTACGGTGCAGTGGTGTATACCCTGACTCACGATCACGAGCGTTTACGAAAGCCTCTGAAGAGTGTCGTACTAGCCATTCCATAAGACGATTGCGGCCGCGAGATGCCGACATGTGCAGAGCAGTTCTGCCCTGTAAGATAAAGACATTTATATTATCGAGATATGTAAATTTATTAAACAGCACCCTGACTTCTACACCAATCTTGACGACCTGCCCCAAGGACATACTTTTATACCACGCAATAGATTGCTTCTGCGACAATCTCAGCTACAATTATACAGCTCAGGTCCTCACTCAATGTCGGTAAAGATATTCAACGGTCTCCCGCCAATCATTAAGAACGAGAAAAAGTATTCACTCTTTCTTAATAAATTTAAAATATACGTAATTAACAAATGTTACTACAATTTCACACAAAATATAATATATTGTAATAAATTTTAATAATTAAATTAATACATAATAAATAAATCTTTAATTATGTTATATTATATATTCGTATTATTGTAATTTAATTTAATCGGAATTTTCGCAATGACAACTTTTATTATACATATATTGATAGTGAACAATTAAAGTGACTACACTAAGCCTCAGCCTGTCTCTGCTCTTATTGTTATCCTAAGACAGGGCTCATATGTGTGATATTATTTTAATTTTAACACCTTATGTACCATATGAAGACAATAAATATATTGAGTATTGACATGTGTAGTAAGAAGTGACTAAGAGATACATTAAACTTATAAGTAATAAATAAGTTACGGAACCAGGGGACACCTCGAAAGGGCCTTTTAGAAAGCAAATACCTTGAAACTGAAATGAAAAAGTAATTAAGTTCAACAACACTTTGTTCGATGGGGTACCACAAAATTATGTACTTCTCATCATATTTTAACTTCCTACCTACATTTGTTCTATGCCAGTGTATAAACACGCGACTTAAAAATGTCTGTGATATAACCAAAATGGGGCTACCTCGCTGTTGCAGTATGTCTAGCATATTTGCGGGTTGAGGCATTTATCTGCACGAAAACAACATCACTGCTCAGCAGACTGTGGAGCGGCACCAACATCATTTTACATGTCATGATCATAACCTACCCATTATGAAGTCTTCCATTCGGGTCCTGATCTAAGTGTCATGATGCAAGTGAGATATAGTAGCCTGCCACTTGCATGTTCATTTTGCATTGTTTTTTATACTTATTATTATTATTACCGTTAACTTACCCTTTGAGTCATTTTTGTAAGAGTACTAACACCATAGGACCTCAAAGAAAGTATATTGTCTAAATTTATCATATATTTATATATAACAGCCTACTGCCTACTGCATTCCCAATAGTACTATTAAAAAGACAGACAGGATGGTACATAAAAAATTATTATACTCAGCACTTTTGTAGAATGATTTCATAAAACATTCTAAGTTTTAATAAAACTGCTATTTCTCTTATCTATTTAACATTCATAGTAAAATGACCTTTACATTCATAATACACATATGAAAGTCATTTTTGTTATCAGTTGATGCCTATGTATTGTTTTTTTAGAATGATAGGTACCACACACATACCATATTCATCCACTCTTACATAATTTGTCACTGAAAGTGCACATGACAGTCAAGTGGTGGTACGTGGTTACAACCACCTATATAGACACATGTAATACTTCTACTTCTTGTCTTAGATGGCATAAACTGTAATGATTACCATAGCATTGAAAGGATTTGCCAGTCAGTATAAGGTAATCGCCAATTGTTGCCCTGGGTGCGCAAGATGTACAGGAAAGTTATGGTCCGTCGTATGGGGAGGTTCTTTCATGCACCCCCATGTGATACTCGGGAAGTATCCTTAACATGCAAATGCCTTACCAGACACGAGGCTAAATGATATTAAATCATCTGTATCTTTGATTGGTAGGTCTGTCATTTAAACTAGAACACAACAATGCTGCAGTGATGGTAGAAATAGTTAAGGAAACAACATACTCACCTCAAAATCAAAAGCCTTGGAAAAATTAGCACATGTAGCCTTAATAAAACTTGCAAGAGACTCATCTTTGACAGATCTCTTTGTTATTGCACTTGTCAAAGCTTGTCCATGGCTTCGTGACTTGCAGCGTTTTGTACAGTCAACTTCCACATTAATTTTATTCATATTGAGGCTTAATATTTATTTTTCTATATGTGAAACTTGTATTTATAAAAATATCCAAGAAGCACCTTTTGTTGTTACTTTGTTTAAAACTTTTCATGTACTATGGTTTTTTAATGTCAAATATGTAACAGTAAATAATTCGTTATGTAGTTGTTATTAATGAAAAATAAATTATTTTCTAGACAACATATAAACTAAAACGGGTTTTTTATTTTTTAGTAATAATAATATTAAAGAGCAATTGAAACAAATATATACAATAGAGCTGAGCTCTGTGTAGCCCCAATATGGGGCTACGTGGTCTGTTTAGCAGGACATAATGTTTGGACGAACAATCTGAAACAATAAGATAGTTTTATAAACAACACAACTATTGTAGAGCAAGAAGGAAGCACAATAATTCTTGAAATAATTTTTTTTTTGCTTTACAATTAGTATTCATCAGGAACATTGAAAGTTAGGAGTGACAGTATTAGGAGATTAACCAAGGTAATCGATGTGCTTTCAAAGGTAGACCGAGCAAAATGGTGATGGGCTGGGGATTATTGCATGGGCCGGAGAGCAAAGTAGTCACCAATTGGCACCCATGTGATGAAAAATGTAATATAGGAAGTCAGCATCAAAGATGAGAGGATGAGCTGAAGCTAACTGCAGGCCCGTGTTGGAGAAGAGTAGCTCTTGATAGAGCTCACTGTAAAGATCTGGAGGAGGCCTATGCCAAGGACCGCACTGAGTTAACAGATATCAGTGTTGGGCGTTAATCAATTAAATTTCAATCAATAATTCAATCAGATTAAAAAATCAATTCAATTGAAATCAATTGCAATTAAATCAATTGCGACGCGTCGCAATTGATTTAATTGCGATTGATTTTAATTGCAATTGATTTCAATTGAATTGATTTTATTTGCAATTAAATTTGCAATTAAAATCAATTCCGGCCGTTTAGGGGCCCCGGTTGGGAACCCCGCTTGGGGGGCGGGGGCCCCGGTTGGGGGGCCCGGTTGGGCCCCCCGGTTAGGGCCCCGGTTGGTGGCCCGGTTGGGGCCCCCGGTTAGGGGCCCGGTTTGGGGCCCCCGGTTGAGGCCCTCAAGCGGGGACCCCAACTGGGGCCCCCAAGCGGGGACCCCAACCGGGGACCCCAACCGGGTACCCCAACCGGGGTCCCAACCAGGGTCCCCAACCGGGGACCCCAACCGGGGACCCCAACCGGGGACCCCAACCGGGGAACCCAACCGGGGCCCTTAAGCGGGGACCCCAACCGGAGCCCCCAAGCGGGGACCACAACCGGTACCCCATCCGGGGCCCCCAAGCGGGGACCCCAACTGGTGCCCCCGAGCGGGGACCCCAACCGGTGCCCCCAAGCGGGGACCCCAAGCGGGGACCCCAACCGGAGCCCCCAAGCGGGGACCACAACCGGGGACCCAAGCGGGGACCCCAACCGGTGCCCACAAGCGGGGACCCCAACCTGAGACCCCAACCGGGGCCCCCAACCGGGGCCCCCAACCGGGGACCCCAACCGGAGCCCCCAAGCGGGGACCACAAGCGGGGACCCCAACCGGGTCACCCAAGCGGGGATCCCAACCGAAGCCCCCAAGCGGGGACCCCATCCGGGGCCCCCAAGCGGGGACCCCAAACGGGGACCCCAAGCGGGGACCCCATGCGGGGACCACAAGCGGGGATCCCAACCGGGGCTCCCAACCGGGGCCCCCAACCGGGACCCCAACCGGGCCCCATAACCTGTCCCCAGCAGGCCCCCAACCGGCCCCCTAACCTGCCCCCAGCAGGCCCCCAACAGGCCCCCACAACCAACGCCCTAACTCACCCCCATATGCCTTATAAATTTATAATAATTGTCAGTTTTAATTGTTAATTGTTAATCAAAAACATTGAAAAGATTGAAAATTGATTAATTGTTAATTGTAGATATTTGCGATTAACGATTGATCAATTGTTAGTTGCGAGAACCGCAATTAATAATTGATTAATTGTTAATTGCGGTTCTCGCAACTAACAATTGATCAATCGTTAATTGCTGTTTCGCAATTGACAATTAATCAATTGTCAATCTTTAATTGCCAGAACAATTAAATTTTGCCCAACACTGACAGATATAAAAACTTTAAATGTAATTTAAAAAGTATTTGTAACTCAGCTTAAAAAAAGGTTTAATAAATAAATATTGTATTTATTACAAAAAACGAGAAAAAAATTGGTAGCTATAAAATTTAACACAATGAAGAAATTACTAAAATTATGCAATTAAAAAAAAACGTAACTACTACAAAAATTAGTTCACTTGTCACTAATAGTAACCACGAATTTTTTTCCCGTTTCAATCTTCGACATCAGTTTATAAAATATTATTTATGGTAACAAGATTTTCATACTATTTAAGCCACGTATATTTTTTCCAAACTTTTATAGAAACGTATGTTAATTGGCATTCAGATGTTACGATTTCAAACTTTTCAAGGTCGATTGGTGTGTAGGCGATACTGGCCGGCTACTTATTACAAAATTGCACAGGTTTACGCAATATTATTTCAAAGTGTTAAAGTAAGAGTATTATGCTAGTTGCAAAGGCTGTAACACTCTAAATATAGGAATAAACTAAAATATAGTAATTTACAGATGAAAAGAGTATCAAATATCAAAACATCAAATTGAAAATTACCTTTACATATGAACAGCTGTATTATGAAGACGGTTCTCGGAGATTACGAAGTAAACCATGGTTTACGTCAAATAATATATAATTGAACAAATAGCTAGCATTCAGTCCTATGTAAACAGAATTTTGCCGAGAAATTGAAGATAATTCAGTATTTGTAGCGTTTTGAAGAACTGCAAAATTCGACAACTTGACTTGACGTATGATCAGCGTTGCCAGTGCCAATTGTCTAAAATCCCCAAAAATCACGGCTAAAATCCCCAAATTTGGGGAGAACTTTCTACGTTCATACTCCCCAGTTCTCGAGTGTTTATTATTTATTACAAATACATCGCTTAAAACTAACTATAATAAAGAATTAACAAACTCAATATGTAACCATCTATTACGTTTGCTCTGAATGTAAACAGAATGTAAAACGTAAAGCAAATTATAAAATCGGATGACCTTAAATCATTCATTTATTGTAATGAGATTCAACATTAATCAAACTTAACAAGAAAATAATTTTTCTTTGACTTACAAAATTAAGTAAGTTGTTGCGAATTTGGTGATACTATGGAAAAAATCAATGATTAAATTATGTTTCAACCTATATTTCATATTTAAAGTTGACGAGTGCCAAGTGGTAAGTTGTGGTGTGGAAGTACCAACTGCTCGGCTTTCTTTATCAATAGTTGATTTCGTGTTTTTTACCGGAGACGAGCCTAAGTGGGATAAAGGATCGCGAACTCAACACGCACTCACTGATAATTTTACAAGAGTAGTATTTAACCGCTTACCAAAAAAGCAAGTTTTTCATAACCAAATATGCCACTTCCCCAACAAGAGTACCGATTGCAAATCAAAATATGTACATTAAAAGAAAATTAATTTAGCATTATGTACTAAAATTAAAGTATAACATTTTATCGCAATGCATATCTGACATCTAAATACATAGGTACATCTAAATGATATTTCTGGCATACAACAAACGTATGATCACAAATTTACGAGAAAAAATATACTTACTTCACAGAAAGGTATATCGGACTGATGTCATGATCGGAATGAAACACCATTTTATATGACATAATGGTCTAATTGTATACAATTTGTCCAAAACAATAAGATCAAGAACAAAAAAAAATGCACACAAACATTGCAACAAAGTGTAATGCTTGAAAATCGTAGTATTTTTTTTGTATTTGTAAATAAAGGTTCAATTTAGTTCCAACATTATGAATTGCTTACAAGAAAATCAGCTCCAAATATAATAATTGTTGTACGTGATTCATTGTATAAACGAAGATAATTTATGGAGCAACTTTTGAGAAAAATTACAGTAATTTTGTTAAAAGAATTGTTATTCCGTTTAGAGTTATTTTAAATTGATGTGCCATCAGTATTTTTCTTATGTAAACCATATTCTTGTAAATAAATGAACGCTTTCGTTGTACACTGAGAAATTAGCTGAGGTCTAGTTTTTATACATGTTTTAAATTATTTTTGATGCTAGTTTTGTTAGACAGTTGTTCCATTTGTAGTGAAATATTTTTTAGATGTGCACTTGCACATAATAAAATTATGTTCATTATTCAAATAACTTTATTTGAATAATGAACATAATTTTATATGTGTTGAGTTTTTCCCATTTTATAATTCTGAACCAAGACAATCTGATAATAATTCTATTTAAGCTGCTTGTTAACAATGCGAGGGTTGAAAAACACATCTATATAGTTCATCACAGTGTTCCTAATAATAACGATCAAACTAGATAACAAAATCATAAAATGTTAGAATCCCCACATTTTCCCCACATATCACCAATCCCCACAAAATCCCCAATCTAGTACAAATTCCCCGCAATTTGGGGAATTCCCCACAAAGTGGCAACCCTGCGTATGATGTCACAGACGACGATTAAGGAAGTACACATTACAATTATAATGCAATTGCAATTCAATTTCTATGAAGATCGATTCAAGCGTATACGACGCATGAAGCGTCTTTTTGTATCGATTTACGCCAATCCGATTTTTATGCAAATCGATTCAAAATTTGGGTGAAATGAATCGTCCAGATCGTATTTATAATTTAAATTGAATAGTTTCTGTACCATACTGAATCGAAACGCTAATTCTATTTTATATTGCTCTGCAAGGTAAGTTCTTTGGCCACAACTAACTTACAATAAGTCTCCGATATTTGGCAATTGTTGCTACCCGTTCGATACGATCTGGAACGTTTTTTCTCTTTGGTTAATATCATCAAAATGAAAATCGCAACCGACTGAGGCCGAAAAGGCTGCCAAATTTTTGTTTTTTATGAATATTGATTTTCAAACGATTTTTAAGAGGTCGATTCATGAGCATAATGATTCCTTCTTTGAATAGATTTAGAGGCATATTTTTGAAACATTACGATCAAAAAAATCGATTCAAAGCAAAAATCGAGCATTCCTGTGGACTATGTAGAAACATTTTTTTTGTCGATTTAACCAAAGATTTAACAACCACTTCTAGTTTAAAAAAACTTTTTGTTTCCATCTCATTAGCTTATATTTGAATTTTGCATAATTTCGTTGTATCCTTAATCAGTTTATAATAGATTTTTAAAATATATGTTTTAATACATGGTTTCATTCTTAGATTTCATTACATTATTTAGTCGATTTTATTGGAATGACTACTCCATGACTACGCTGTCATTCTAATGTCAAGTCCATTCGGAAAAAAATTACGAATCAATCGAATTGGAGTGGTTGGATAATCATAGAAAACGCAATTTAATTAGTTTTTTTTAAATAAGTTATCCTACAACAATGTTCAAAATAGCAGCCTTTACCGTGGGCTTGAGTAAAACTCCTTTACCAAGGTAATTCGTAATAAAATGAATGCTTCTAAAAATATTTACCCTTCCATTATGTTGATCAAGGTATCAAGATCGTAAAAAGTATTATTTTTCCGGATTACAGATCACTCGCAGCGTTTTCGACCACTTCTGTGAGGCTAGTTGACCCAACATGCTTATTTGAAGCACCTAAACTTGAAACTAAAGAGGTGTTGTCCCGAGATGAAGAAATCCGCAAGGCACAGATTCTAGAGTGCCAGATCATGGTGCCTGCCAAGGTATTAATATTATGAAGTTGTTATCTCTAAGCAACAATCGAATTCTCCTTCCTGCTAAAAGATCGCGGTCTGGGATAAAGTATGGCAACACTATCAGAATCATACCAAACTGGATTCGCTCTGGGCCTTTTGGAGGGAAAAGTATCGTTTTTATTTTGACTTCCAATTATTTTGTGAAATATAGTTTAAAGTGGAATAGGATAGTGCTATCGTGCCTTAATCGAAGATTAAAACGTGAAATTATACGAATCTCGAACTAAAATACCCGTATCGGCCCGTTCTAAGGAATCCTGAGTCAATCCAAGCACGCCGCCTCAAATTGCCTATCCTCTCTGTGGTGGCCATATTTACAGAAATATAATTAAACGTTTATGTTTTCGGCTGAAGGACTTTGTTTCCATGGTCAGCAATAAATTAATAAAAAAAAAACATACCAAACTGTGAGAATAAATTTTACAGAGCATAAAGTATCGCAAAAGAGAAATAAATCCAATAATTCAATTAAGAAACTCAAATTATTTAGTACTCTGCTCTCGTAACTAAAAAAGGTACAACTATGCATACTTTATATGACAGTTGGTCCTTTGTCATTCCAAGGGCAGTATTGTAGTCTTAGAGATAGAGATCGCATCTAAATAAACCTTTCAAAATATATCAGAGAAATACAGTCCCAAATCATATTTAGAAACTTATGACTTCAAATACTGACTAATATAATATTAGCCTGAATTAATTTTTGTAACAAATATATGAAAATAAACAATATTAGAATATAATAAACACAAACACACTTTACTAGTAAAAGAAATATAAACATACATTATAACAAATACTTTTTAATGATTTGTTAAATAAATTAATATAATAAACCACATACTTCTGCTTCTGCTGTCCCAATTATTTTCTTTCGATCCTTATAATAAACAGAGTTTATCAGCATTAAAAAAAAATGTTCATTATTCATTTTGCATGAAAAACATTTTATGAAATTTTTGTTCAGCTTGTGCTGTCTCGATTTGTTTCATCCTATACAATGAAATGATCCCTTCATGAAATTGAGTCGATCTGCACTAAAAAAATTTTTGATCAATTTATTCGTTTTTATGAACAACTCACGCTTGACCAAAAAATTAACTATACCAAAATTGTTTTCACAAAACAGACTTAATGGTTCCTAAGAAAGTTCCCAGACAGTATCTCTATGGTTTCGGAATTCCTGATACTCCCATTAAAAAAACATTCTGTATACAGGATGTAACAGAAATGTATATTGATCACTATCCAGGGGGTCTACTCTCGATCTCCGTCCGACATCCGTCCGAAACAATTATTGCCAAATAAGCAATACTTGACCAAATGAAGAGACGCGTGATGCGAATGAGACTTCATACTGGATACTTGTCTTTTAATTTTGTGGAATATTACTTATTTGATAGTAATTGTTTTGGACGGATGTCAGACGGAGATCGAGAGTAGCCCCTCTGATGTAGATAGACAATAATTTGTCCAAAACAAGCAAGTGTTAAATTAATAAACTTTTATTTACTTCAATTGCAAACATGTACTTCAGTAATGATAAATGATTGCCATTCCACCAGATATTAGGTAAAAAGATATATGTGCCTAACAATAATGGGACCCAATTAAACTTTCATACCTATTACTTTTTACTATTAAAATCACTAATGTGCATCTCTTCTTCTTATCTCTCAGTTCTCATCTTGTATGAGTAACATAAATAACTATATAAAAATAATAAGGAAATAATTGTTAACTACAAAAGCCATCTGGCATTAGCTGTGACCAAGTTGCTCCCGCAAAGATGCTTGTCCAAACATATGGAAAAAAAATGAATTTGTCTCCTAGTTCCTGATGAAGGCAATGCCAAGTACTGCAAGAACAGCTGTTTATAGTTCTGAAGTTATAGTTCAAACAAAAGTAGAAAACATTTTGCAATTGTTTTTCAACTACTACTAAATCTGTTGATCCATTGCTTGGGTTGTGCAAGTTTTTATTTCAAAATGTCGGATTAAATTTTTATATAGTTTTATTAACAATAAAAATCCGAATCCGAATCCGACCGGATCGAAGGAATTTTTTCTGAGTGTTTTTTCTGAGTGTTCGATCTTTGTATTAAAAATTATAACAAACTAGTGGAGTAATTTCACAAAAAATAATTGAATGTCAATTCAATAAAAATTTAATTAATACAGTGAATAGCGACATCTCTCGCCAGGACTGGTAGCTGTAAAGGTACTAACTGGGTGATAAATCTGCAATAGATTTCTCATAGATGGAGCTACGACTAAAAAGTCGTTGAAAGACCAAGTACAAAGACACGACGCAAGCACATAGAAAAATTCGTGAGGTCCGTTGGTTCGTTCCATGGCTTAGTTGGTATAGCGTCTGGCACGGTATGCAAGAAGACGTCGGTTCGAATCCGACCGGATCGAAGGAATTTTTTCTGAGTGTTCGATCTTTGTATTAATAATTATAACAAACTAGTGGAGTAATTTAATAAAAATGATGCCAATGACTTGTAGGCACAAACTAAATAAAGTTGTCCATTTGATATTGTTGTGTCCTTTCGTTTACACTTTGTACAAAATGGAGTGTTACCTTAAAATAAAGAATGCATTTTATGGTATAATTCTATTATTTATTTCTTCTAGTTATTAAAGTAATTTAAGATGCCTCAACCAGCATACAGGTAATGTTACATTTTTTTACAAAAATACCTATAAGTTATTATAAAATCTCCAAATATGTGATTTCAGGTGGACATCAGTCCAGTATCAGGCGTCCCAGCAGAACACGTAATTGAGCGTAGAGTACGTATTTTCAAACCAGCTAAGAATGCTATGCAAAGTGGTACTAACAATATTCACCATTGGGAAATGGAATTTGATAACCGCCAGCGTTGGGAGAACCCACTTATGGGTTGGACATCAACTGGAGACCCATTGTCCAACATGAAAGTACAATTTAAAAGTTCCGAAGAAGCAATTGAACATTGCGAAAAGAATGGATGGAGTTGGTTTATTGATGAAGTGAAAGAAGTGAAACAATTCAAGCCGAAAAACTATGGAGACAACTTCTCATGGAATCGCCGTACCAGAGTCACTACAAAGTGAAGATGTTAGTACCATGCATTGTTAACTTATTTAATTTTTAATTATTAGAAAATTATCGTATGTTTGAAATGACATTCATATTAAATCTTTAGTGAAGGTCTTTTTGTTTTTTATGATACTAAATGTCTGGTCGAACTAGTTGTGCACCTGGTGGTAAACTACACTTATGTCCACAGCAGTTGCAGTACCACTCATAGTTTTAATAGCTAAGATTTGAAGGGCATTGCCACTGTGTCGATCACCCTGAGACATAAGTTGACAAGTAATTTCACCAGCACCCTTACCCTTCAAAACTAGGAAATAAGGAGCTCTGTTGCTAGTAAATACTTACTAGTTTTTGTGGAATATTTTATTCCCAATACATTGTTTTCTTAAGGTATATAAAATAAAAGAATTTAAATTCTATATTTTCATTTAATCATAGTCTTCAACATGGTTAATTCATATTTTTTGTACCTCGGAAGTAAATCATATTTCGCAGGTCTCACTTAAATTCTTTATTTACATATTATACAATTTAATTAAACATTATAATACATGAAACTGAACCATGCTCAACACATACTTTATTGCAATTTCTAACTACCATAGTTTTCCATGTACATCGTACATATAAAGTTTTAAAATTTAAAATTAATCTAACAACCTTTTAAAGACATAAATAACTAGATAAAATTATGAAAAAATTATTGCATTCACTTTTCTTTTTTATTTATTTACACATTAATGAACAATATTAAGAAATATTTCTACGACTAGAACAATTTTATTAGGATGCTATCTTGTATATTAACGATTTTAAGGGTAATTTTCAGGTAAGTTTTTTGTACTCAATTTTGGTGACAATTTCTTTTTATTTAGATACTTATACAATATCATCATGAAGTATTATTTCATATTCGAGAGTGGTAACCTGAAATATGCTTTAATATTTCACGATGATATGTTCGAGTAATTTAATAATAAAAATTGTCACCATAATTGAGTACAAAAAACTTACCTGAAAATTACTGTTAAGAGATCTGTTAGTGATTCATGAGTAGAAATCGCCTTGGATTTAAAAATTCCAAAGAAAATGTTAAATATATTATTTCACCTTCTACAACTAGTGTGAAAAGCTAGCATATAACGCATATCTATTCTGTGGGGTTGTCAAATGTACTAACTTATTTGTGTGATGGTATCAAAGTATCATGAATTTTTATAGTATTCTTCCTTCACTATCAAATTCAATTCTACGCTTTCCATTTTTTGTGGTGGATACATGTGTTTCTTGAAGAAATTTTTGCTCAAATGTCATACAACCTTTTCCGTATTTTTTCTTTGTATAATAAGGATTGCACTCCACTTAACAGCAGCACGTTTTATCACCGCGTCCTTACTAAACCTGTGTTTTGAACGCACTGCTGAAAATGAGTGCGGTCTAACTCTAACGTGACTTGATTTTATAAAAATGTAAAGCAAAATGTGAAGCGATGTGGTACAAAATACGTTCTAGTAAGTGACAGGGTTCAAATACTCTAATAAAATTGAAAACAGGCGTCGAAAAACTACAAGTACAAATCAACTAGAAAAAGGTTGGTCGGGGGTTAAGAGTAAATTCGGATAAAAGTTGTAAAATAATCAAAGTTGGTCCTACAAAAGGGGATTATAATACTTTCCTAGCTGCGATTAAGTGTAGATCAGCTTAAATGATATTTGAATTTAATGAGTGCGCGTGTAGCGAAGACACATGACGTCAATTTCATGAACGTTATAGATTCGTCTAAATATGTTATCATTTTATCCAAAACCGTTTCATAACCGTACAAAATCGTTACACGTGTTCGTTATAACACATTGATATTATATATTATAACACATTATAAATGTTATAAGTGATAAAAACTTCCTTGTTGGTCCTTCTTATAAAAAAGGGAAAGTAAATTTAAAAATGTTATATTTATGATTTGCTTGGAATATACAAATGTTCATAAGGCTCTAATAATAGCTTAAAACAATGGTTGAAACATTAATTAAGCTATTAAATTTTTTTTTATATTTGTCTTTCTGTTCATGTTGATAAGTTCACAATCAAAATCAAAGTAGTTTTTTAAGTAATGTTTTATAACCGACGGTCCACTAGGACTAATGTAATTTAAAAAATACTAATGAATATTACCTTGTTAGGAATTTAAGTAGATAGGTACTGAATTAAATAATGAAAAATAAAATAATAATAAAATATCATTTAAAATATTAGTCAAGGTTTTGAAGTGTAAACTTTACTTACATACAATACAACTTACTGCCTCGGTGGCCGAACGGTTACCATGCGGACTGCCACGCAGAGGTCCCAGGTTCGATTCCTAGGCCGGGAGAAATATTTGTATGGCCTACATTTATTTCTCTCGTGAGTTTGGGTGTAATTTGTGGTTGTCTATGTGTGTGTCCATGGCACCCGCGACACAGGGTTTCTCTAGTGCGGGGCTATGTTGAGTGTGTGCGTTATTATAAATTAAAAAAAATAATCTTATTGTATATTGTAATTATTTACCTTTAAGAACTAATATTGTCTGCTGAAAAACCAAATTTCTCAGGACAAATACGGCAATATTTTTGGATCCAAGCACTTTGTGCACCTAATTAGCATTTATTTCTACGGCGGCAGCTAACGTTACAATTAGAACAAATAACAAACCCGGGACGGGTGCGATTTCTAAATAATAAAAATTAACGCAGGAAAGGAGGTTACAGTTCTGGTGGTCAAATTCCGAATTATGCTGACGTATACGAGTTGTTAGTCGGTAAAAACATTATATCAAAATCCTGTTTCCGGCACTTGCTAACCACCCAGCCTAATCACGTAAAGTTTTAGCTTTGGTAGTTTAGGGCCTTTAAAATTATTTCAGTCTAGTGTTGCCGTTTAAACACTGTCAAAAGTATGATATAGATAATTAATAATATACCAGACGACCACACCAATTGTCTGGTCTCAAACTAGGCGATTCCCTGTACTACGAGCACCAGAGCAACAGAATTCACAGCCAGGGCACTATCCGGAATACCCAAGTCAGAACGAATTTAGAAAAGTTCATGTCCCAAATTGATTCTCCCGGGAATCAAACCTCCGCATGCAGCGCCCACAGTGCAAACCGTTGAGCCTCTGAGGTGGTCAAATTAGTAGAAGTTTAAACAGCAACTGTCTAATCATTGTGTTACGGATCGATATCTTTCGCCTTTTGCGAGTAATACGTTTTTTTAATGCCACTCGAGGTCAGGAATCGCTGTTTTATGGATAATCAAACACAAGGTTTTCTATTAAATACATTGTTATTCACAAATTTTGTAAAAATAACTACATATTTGTTATACATTTTGAACCGAAGATTGGGCCCATAACCTCAAAGTGACAATAAGATGTCGGACTGACCCACAGAAGTGTAGAACTGTTAAAGCATGAAAGCTATAAGGCCAAAAAGCCGTAGCTATAAAAGAGTTCTACAAATTGTAGTTATAAAATAAAGTATCTATACGAGCCTAAAGATTTAATATTGTCTTTTGATAATGTAATGTACCCGCCCGTGTGCGTACCACTCCTTTACCCATTTCTTATAAAAGCAACATTCACGATTGTAACGATCGTGCTAGGCATGTTTAGGCTGATTGTCTTAGCCAAAGCCTCAATAAATTAAGAAAAAAAAACGCACGTGCTATAAAACAATCTGCCAATACGAGCTCTCTTAAAAGGTACAATAAAAATGCTCTAAAAGGATAAAAGCGCCCTCAAACCTATTCGATGAGATCTATGTAAGTAATCATATACTATTGAAACTTGTGCGAAACTCGACCGTTGCGTTATGTATGAAAACAATTTGTTTGTCATGGATAAATTGCAGTCTTATGCTGAAGTTAGGTATAGGTAATAGAAGTTATCATGATTACAGACCTACAATTATATCATCAGAGTATCATGCCAAGCGGAAACTATTGACAACAGATGTGTAGTGTCTTCATTAATTAAAAAATTAGTGTAAAGGTAAGCTTTTGAATTAAAGAATAAAAAATTTGAGGCCAGATTAAGATCACCTTAGGGTCGTATTCTAGAACTCTATTCAATGCTCAAGTCAGGATTGCACTGGCAACACAAGCACTGGAAATACGACCCTAATGGCAGGGACTTGAGTATGATTTCGAGTGCTTTAAACCATACTCAAATCCTGACTTGAGCATTGAGTAGAGTTCTAGAATACGACCCTTAGTGTCAGAAAAAAACTGTTATTTCAAATGGCTCCAAAACAGAATACCTACACTCTATTATATCTAAAATTGGTACATCGTTTTCCGACGTATAAAACAATTTATTATCTAACCTACGATTAAAAGGCGAAAATTGACGTTTTATAAATTCTTCTAAGGTTTCCTATTGCTGTGTCAATGAGTATTTTTAGAGCGTTTGCTGGTTACTAAGGTCTGGAGCTTTGTATATTCTGGTTGGTTACACTATTGTTAAGTGTAACAAATGTAGTGAGGAGACCTGGTATAAGTATCCCAATAAGAGATTTAAATAATGTCACGTTAAAATGCTTTTGCCTTAACATTTTACTATAACCAATAGAAATGAACATTCCTTGATAGGGACCACATGAAACGGCGCATTCTTTTATTATAATTATCAGTGTTACTGCGTTTCTATAATTATGAGAAAAAATACTTGTGTTCACTTGATTATAAGTATCAAATATCTTTGTTAAGTGAACAGCGGACCATAAACCTTGAAATGTCTATCATTTCAAAGTCGGATGAAAGAAAGTATGGAAAGATGTATAAAATTAATTCTTAATAACAGATGATTTGCTGTGCACTTCAACATAGATATTCATATTTCATTTTATAAGCATCGACTTAGATGACATTATCAGTCGTTCTCATATACAAATAGCTAATATTTACATCAACAAAATTTACAACCCTTTCAGAGACAAGTCTCGAATCTTAATTAAATATAAAACTGCTATACATAATACGAACAAATCTGCGTCTCTAATAAAGCTTAGATAAAAAAGAATGTTAAAGTAGCATCTCATTGAACTATCGATTTAATTTAAGCTTATGGAATCGATGAATCGATAAAAACTTTTTCGCGAAGTATCTGGTTAGACAACTCTAACGTTTTTTTTTTAATTCAAATAAAATTATATAAGCTTATACCATTTTGGACTGCGGCCTTAATCTACTTTAGGGGCTCTTTAAACTTTCGATTTTTAAATATCTATAGACGTGGTTAAGCTAACTTTTTTTAAATCACATTACACTATCCATTATCACCGTGCACGGTTGTGTGTGAACACAATATTCGATCTTTTGACACTCGATTCTGTGTCTGACAAACTAGCTTGCTAGTCCTTGGGAGCTAAGGGTTAATAACTATTGGGTTTGAGCCTCTTCGGGCTCGGCGGTCGTAGATCAGCTGGGTTGTTCGTCGCTTTCTCGATGCACGAGGACTCTGACCACTGTGGGGGGTGCAGTGGGGAGCGGCGCAGCGTCTGGTGACGCCTCGGTTACAAGGATGCTCACTTCGCTGTTGGTAGCGTGAGGGGAAGGAGTACGCGCCCGAGCAGGTGTCGTTGCCCTGCGAGCTGAATTTCTCCGCGATGTTATACGAAGGGAACCTGGAAAATGCATAAAATAAAAATATTAAAATAATAAATCTTAATATAGCGCTCGTTTCCTCGTTTCTCATCCACAAAGATTTTGTTTGTCTATCGTGCTATTATTCTATTTCTCGTTATTAAGATGGGATAAAGCACGTTAGTCGATTTCGCTCTTGATGCTCTTGAATTTTAAAGTAAAAATATGACATTTAATAATTCAAATTAAGATATTAGCCAATAGACTAGAATAGAGCTTAAAACAAAACAAGAGATGGATTTAATTTTTCATATTGCCCCCTAATACATGCAGGGTGACCCTTAAAGGTATGCGAAATTTCTACTTATTTATTTATTTGATTGGTAGAATCATCCCATGAATGTAGATCTTTAGGGGTCACCCTTCTTAAGTTAGTGGCATAAAGACTACAATAGTACTTACATATACTTCGAGGACTGCAATATAAGAACAAGCTACTAAGCATGCAGATCATTGCCTATTAAGCCTACTTTGCCATAGCATTCTATATTACTATAGAGGACCTGTTTTAAATGGGTCAGTTTGGGTGAGTGCGGACAGCCAGATATACAGCAAACATGCAAATAAATTGATTGAAATTGTAAATCCTTGAGAATTTTGGCAGGGCGAACACTAAACCATGGAACGTAATGCCAATTCCGATCAGTATTGAACAACACTTGGTGATAAAAAAATACAAAAAAAATTGACACGAAAATTACTTTTTGAAGGTATACTAAACGGCGTTGTATGCTTTGATTTTTAACAGAATATGTAAGTCCCACGTTGAGTGCCAATATTACATTTTTGGCGCCCAATGGGACTCCTTACTAACCGTTTAGTGAATATAATAGAAAAAGAGACACAGAAAGCAAAACATTACATATGAACCTGCGCGTTTTGGGCCACCGCCGTCCTCGTCGACAGCATCTTGGTGTCTCAGGAATAAAGGCAAACCATATGCTGATCTCCTTCGCGGTGGTGCTGATTCCGATCCGCTTGCCGCAGCCTGAGTATTAGTTAACGTTTAAAGTTCGTACACCCATGAGCGCACGGTGTTACAAATACACTTTCATGGGTCTTACGGGTTAATTAGCGTAACTACGAGCATTTGTGTTCACAATGAATAGTATATTATGTGTTCATAACAAGTGACGTTTGTTTATCAGTAAGGTAGTAACTTTGTGTGTAGTTTCATGGCATTTGTATTGCAATAATTTGTTGCCTTTGTGCTCCGTGAACTAAAAGTTAAACACACGTGTTTGTATTGAACCTTGTTATATTACAGAAGTATGTACAAACTATAGAATTCGATAACTCACTTGATCACCGGGAGTCGCACCCGGCAGCAATAGCAACGGCAAGTTTAACCAGGCACCTCCAAGTTCACTAAGATCTGAGGCGTCAGACGCTCGCGAAGACTTTCTGCTGGACGCGTGAGAACTTCTTCTGACATGCAAGAGGGCACTGAGACGGCCGCCCCAACCTCCACCTGGTGACCACTTTGTACTTTCCTCTTCATTGGAAGGACTGCGGTTCTTTCGCCTGAAATCATAGAACAAAAAGTCAAGCTCCGACTAGTAGTATGCTTACTAACCAGCTTGAAAGTATACAACGTAAAAGTGAAGATTATTCATTATTTATTTATATATTTTTATAAATTTATATTCTGTTATTAAACAGCATTGGTTACCGTGATTTTCTTGTTAACGCAAATATTTGTACCGAGCATGTTCTCGCAATCAGCACTGGCTTGTTGCCAACAGCATTTATATTCATACATTATTTTAAGCTATAAACAACAGCGGTAAATATGGCTTACTTGACGTATTCCCTCCAAGATCGTTGTATCATCCGGGCTGCCTTGTCTTCCCTTTTCCATATTCTTGTTGATGATACAATCTCTAGTTCTTTTCTAGTTGGGAATTGCTTCTTGAACTTGATGTCCATTTGTTCCTGTAGTTGTCTGAATGTGTCTGTTTCTTCGACATGGCCTAATACATGTTTGACTAAAGAGTGAAGGATGTCAAGGCAATGAATTTTGTTTCCTCTTGCAATGGGAAGGTTGAAGCTGACTAGAGCCACCGTGTTGGGTTTAGGTATGCCGAGGGGAGGGTCTAAGGATGCAATAAAGTCGGAGAGTTGGGTAAAGCTTATGAATTGTGTGGCGTGGGGATCATATCTGTAACAAAACAATATGTTTATACTCACGAAGTCTGCCGTTCGTAACTTTTTAATTATCAGAAGATAATAGATTTACTTTTAAATTGCTACATCCTTGAGTTATATTTTAGTTTAATAAAAAAAACTAACTTTTTACAGTTACAAATATTTCAGCCACTTACTTCGACCATCTAATGTAAAACATTTCTAAATCGTCTTCAACAATCCCAATTTCTTCTTCTTGGTGAGCTTGATTGAAATTTTCCAAAATAATAGCTATGTACATGTTGATAACAATCATATAGCTGATAATAATGAAAGAAGTAAAGTAGGTGATGGCAAGAAGTGGGCTTCCGCAGTTGCCATGGTCTCCTGGTATAGTTGGATCTCCTAATCTGCAGGCGGGTGGTTGAATCATGAGAGACTCCAAAACATCATTCCATCCTGCTGAAGTCATGAGCCTAGAAATTAATTTCAATACATAACAAGTTCTGGAATATGAAAATGGTTTGGTTTCTTTATACTAGTCAACAGGAAAACACTTTTTCTATTTTGTAAGGTCTGTATCTGTTAATATAAAAACGCTAGTAAATTTAAAGTCGCCTCCGTAGGTACAAGGCTTAACAAGCAGTGTTTTCTTTCTCGAGACACAAATTCACACTAACGATGTCAGTTTCAGTAAACTGAATCGGTTCCAGTCTTTAAGTAAGAATAACAGTTGACTTACCGAAAAAGTAATTGCATGCTCCTTCCGAAAGTCTGGAAGTTAACAATATCGTTCAGAGCGCCCTGTTCCTTGACGTGACCAAACACGGACATGCCTATGATCGCGTAAATGAACGTAATCAAGGCAAGAAGAGCGCCGATGTTGAACAGCGCTGGCAGAGACACCACTAACGCAAACAGCAGTTTTCTAATGCCTTTAGCGGCCTGAAAGTAAGAGAGTCAATGGTTAATAGAGAAAGACCGAGTCATTATTACTCGACTAGTTTTTCAGCTTTTGAGTTTTAATGTATTTGGAAATTATAAAAACTAAACAATGCGACCTCGGAGGGTAGAAAATAGAATTCCCAGTTGAATCTATCATTTATGTATTGCCATACAGAGCTTGACCACTGAACCACTCGGGATGTAATTTGTTGCTGGTAAAGCTTTGTATACTCACTTTAATCAGTCTTAAAATTCTCCCTATACGAAAGACTCTAACCACCCGCAGTAAAGTAGGCGAAATGGGTAAATCAATCATTATATCTTCCATTAGTATTCCCAGGATCGAAGCCAGTACCAAGAGAAAATCGAACACGTTCCATGGCACAGTGAAGTAGTGATACCTTAGACCGACGATTTTCACTATTGCCTCTGAAATGAAATGTTAGCCATGTCAAGTCAAAAATAAGGTTAAAATGACGTAACGGCGACATGATTCGCCGAAAGTAGAAAGTAATGCCAGATTTTGCCCTACTTAAAAAATTTTAATGTAATAGATTTTATTGGTAGGTCAATGTAATAGATTAAACGTCAAGTACTTTGTAAAAAAAGATCATATTCAACTGCAGGTATAACAAGTGTACATATTTTTGTAAGACAGTAAATAAAACTCACGAAAGTTGGATGGAAATAGTTATAGAAGTTTAAAAACAGTGTCTATTATACGCAGGTCAAATTATCTTTGTACGTAGATATATACATTACAATGCCACTCGAAGCAAATTATCAATACTCGCTAATAATAACTATTATTTACTAAAACATAATTTGGCACAGAATCATGCGAAAATTTAAAGCTATAACCTTGAGCCAATGCGGGTTAGAAGATACATTTCTATGACTTGGCAATCTTTGGCTCAATATCTTTTATATATATGTGCTGTTGTCTGGAACAGTACTTACCAAGTCCAAATACTGTTGTGAAAAACGCGTTGCTCACTTCTAAGATGAAGAAAACAGAATGTGGTTGATCATAATGCTCGATCCCCATGGTGAGCATGTTAAGGAATATTAACACAAAAATAGCTATTTCGAAGCGTCTAGAGTTCGATAAATCGTAGAACATTGCAAGAAACTGATTTCTTGGCCGTTTTATTACTTTCTGAGGCTTCTTTCTCCCAAGTTTCTTCATTGCTGTGTAATAATGTTTTTGGCTTTCTGTGAGAAACATTTCTAATACTCCTCCTTCGTACTGGAAATAATTAAACAATCAAATATATGGACGTTGAATGAAATGTGAAATATGTAAAGTTTAAACAGGTCTTACCTTTTTCTTGAGCATATTAAAGTTATCTATAATTACTCCTATAAACAGATTGAGAGTGAAGAACGATCCACAAACGATGAAAATAACAAAATAAATATAAGCGTAAAGATTGGCTTCTCTTGCCGGTTGCAAGTCCACCCCTCTAGCGTCCACTGCATCGGCCATTACTTCCATCCAGCCTTCAAATGTCGCCACTTGGAATAACGCTAAATATGCTACACCAACATGGTCAAATGATATCTTGGAATTGATCCAAGAGAAATTATTATAATAGCACTCCCATTTATCATTTACTATCTGCAAAAAGATGTGTATTTTAATACGTGTATTCAAAGTAATATAAATGATATCAGAATGGTACATACCTCTAAAGGCAAAAGGTCCCCGTATTCATTGACGCATTTAAAGAACTTCCCGCCGAAAAACTGCACTCCCATTATGGAGAATATCAACCAAAATACTAAACAAACTAATAATACATTGAAGATACTAGGTATTGCGTACATTAACGCGTTCACTACTATTCTCATGCCTTGCCATCGCGATATCGCACGCAACGGCCGTAAAGCGCGTAAAGTTCTTAGAGATCTCAATACTTTTAAGTTCTCATTTTCTTCTATTAACAAACTAAATACTGACACCTGTGGAAATTCAACCAAGATTATTATTTAAACTAACTACCAAGTAAGCAAACTAAATGAGAACTTCAAGAGATACTTACAAAAACTATAGTAAAATCTAATAAAGTCCAAAAGCTGGTGAAATATCTGAAGAAGCCCAATGCTATCCATTTGAGAAACATTTCTATTACGAAGATCAAGCAGAAGCCCAGATTAGTCCAGTAGAGGATCTTTTTTAAAGGCTTGTTTTTTTCAAGGTGTATATCTTCAAAGCATAAGGTGATGCTTGAGGCGAAGATGAGCACTAAGATGAACCACTCGAAGGCTGGCGTATCGACATAGCGGAGGACAAAGGTCCGAAGGACCATCCAGCGCTGGCCGATATTAGTTTCTATACATGAATCCCAACAAGGGCATCTGAAATGATGGAACATTCCCTCATGCTGTTATTCGCACATGCTAAAAGTTTCTTGTGTAAAAGATTATCTTGAACAGAGGTAAAGAACAAGGTAAGGCAATCGAAGGTTCTGGAACGACATGCGAGATGCAGGCCAAACGTTATTAAAGAATTGATTTACCGGCCCTCCTTTACTTGCCCTCATTCTTTTAGTGGAATCGACTGAAGTAATACGTACGCATCGTAACACTGTCGTGGATAGCAATCTTGAGGTACTTTAGACTCTTTTGGTTTACCAAAGCCTGGAAATTTCCCCACTGTGTCAACATATTCACCCTTGGAGTTCTTCCTCGCACCTACGGTTAATTCATCTACGTATGAAACTAAAGCTTGCCAGGGATGGCGCATTTCCGTGTTATCCGTTCGTTTCTGATTTTCCTTACATAAAACATTCGGTGGTTCCTGCTCTTGTCTCTTTTTCTCTGGTGTAGTTTTGCTTGAAATTTGTGCCATCTCATAGTGTTCGTTTTCGTCTGGAATGTTATGATTAGCTATTGTTAATCCAATTAGAAGTCAATTTGTTTCTCGAGACCTTTTTCCTCGAGTTTTTTGATTTTAAAGTCTTCAGTTAGGGACTAACCTGTTTCAAGTTGGATATTCACCATAATGTTTCATGGAGACTGGTTTTGTTAGTTGATCGTTGGCCCATAAAACCCGAAATAAATTAGAGACCCATAAAAAGTACAGACTTAGTTGGAAGCTACAAAAGATTGTTAACGTTGCATTTACCTCTTGAATCAGAAGGCTGCGTGTAGTACCCCGAAGAAGTTTGATTCAATAACCGTTGAGCTTGTATTTGGTCGACGGATGACGTATCGTCGAGGTTTTCTTTCGAATCTTCCCTTATGCTCGTGATTTTGTGTTCGTTTGCCAAATCACGCACGTCTTTTAAAGTTTCTTGGCTGCCGTGGTTGAAGTTGCTCGGGTACAATTGGGGGTATGCGAAGTCGGAACCTACTGATATAGGCCTGAAATTTTAAGTAATAGAATTTAACGATTTACCAACGTTTTAAATGTTGTTTCAAGAATTTGGATCAATATTAAAAGCGTTACCTAAATCTAATGCTAAAACACATTTATGACGTCAACCGGAAGTTATGGTTATGAATGAATGGTTATTTGACGAAGCTGAGGGTATCATCTCCTGAAACGATTGTCCCTATTACCGACCAAACATTATCATAAACAAACGTTTAAAACGTTAACACTGAACTCTTACAACTTTTGATAACCAATACACAAATTTACAATTTCTGGTTTTAAGACAAAGATATGTATGTGTTTTTACGTACCTATTCAATGCTTCTTGGTAACTATGACTATAAATATTGTCGTGTGGGAATAAGACTGTCTCCTGTATGGACGATGAGTATCTCTGCTCACTGGGTATTGAAGATTTGTGTTCATCCTTCATAGCGCGATGTTGTATCATAAATTCGTTAACTAGCTCTTCTAACTTAGATTTTTTTTCACTCTCTTTACTTCTAGATATAAGGAAACCTTTTTTTCTTACTATAGAACGTATTCTATCGAAACTTTTAGCTAATTTGGAATCTTCTCCGACTTCCTAAAATGGTAACAATTTTTTTAATAAAATGTTTGGTAGCTGAATATATCTCAGGTGTATGAATTAGCATTTGATTAATGGTTGCTTTTGTTTCTTGCCTTCGTAATAAGTTACTTTTAAACTGTAACAAATCATAACATCAAATATGCCCTTTATGAAATATATTGCGTAAAGTTCGCTTTGGAAATTTATAATAGTGACTGTTCTAGATTAATTGTTTTAAAAGTGGTACTGAAAAATTTAAGTAAAGGAACATTCCGCTCATTAAGCATGTTACATTTATTATGCAAATTTTGGAAATTCATATATCCAAGGTTGCATCAAAGAGGAAAGGTGGAACACCTTTTTACGACCTTCGAAAAGCAGTGTAATAAAGATTAAACTTCACCTTTACAGTTACGTAAATAGAAAACTAGTAAGACAGGATAGAGACATAGCAGCACACAGAACAGACAATAATATTAACATTCATGAAGGACAGTACGTGCCAAAGAGTCACAAGACAACAAACAACATCGAAAGTAGACTAGGTAAGTACTCACAACCATTACTGGAAAAGCGGAACCTGATTAATGAATTTAAGAACTTTATATTGAACAGTTTACTCAAATTTGACAGTCACCTATTAGTTGCTGATTATAAGTATAAATTGTAGTCACGAATAGTATTTTTGATTTTAAAAGCGGGTTAATGCCATTCTGACAGTGGCATGTTTAATAATTACCTTAAGTAATCCTTTTAAGCATGTAACTGTTTAAAATTTTTCTAAAAGTATCATTCATGTAAAATTGTCATTGAGAACAAACATTTAATCGCTTTGAATCGATATTTTTTAGACTTATAACAGAAATTGAAAATAAACTGTTCACCAAATCCATAAATTCACAAACAGGTCACAAAAGTGCACAAACAACATCAAACACGACCATACCATTACCTCCTTCCTATTCTTCAATTCCTCGCTATTAAAACTATTAAGTAGCAAGGCAAGGAAGAGGTTGAGCACCATGAAGTTTCCCATAACGAGTGCGGGTAGAAATATGAAGAAACAGCTTTCGGCTCCAGTTGCTTGTTCTGCCCTCATGCAATCCCAAAGAGGTTCTATCCACTCTCCACAGAGTATCCGGAATATCATCATAAACGAGTGGAAGAAATCGTTGAAATTCCACCTACAGTTGATTATTTGGAAATTTTAGAAATAAACATTATCAGTATAGGTAAATACATCGTAAAATAAAATTGTCGGCTATAATAAAAATAGTACATGAAAGAAAATTTGATAGAAAAAATTTTCTTCCATTTATTTTTCTACTTTCTTGACGATGATGAAACCTCCATGAAACAAACACAACTGAAATCAGTATACAATACTGCCATAGTTTTATTTAGAAGACTGCTTTTGTAAAATTGTTTGTTGGTAGAATTACTTAATTGATAAAGGTTTTTCGTCTACATTTATTTTATACTTTTGGATTACATAGATTGGGAATATATGCCATAGGAGTTGCAATGAATGTTTATAAGAATGAATGTAGGTAAGAAAGATACATTTAAAAATTATCAGAGAGAGTATTAAGTTAACATAACCTACCTAACTATAGAACCTTACGGAATTGGTCATGTGAATGCAATAGTGAGAGGAGAGTGATTGCGAAAGTGATCATTATAAAATATAAAATGATTGTTACTGTTTGAGAAACAATAAAAATATATGTTAGAAAAAACAAATATACGATTCAGATCCGAAAAAAATACTTTAACTTTCAACAAAAATAACAATAAAAGATCATACCTGGGTACTGGATCAGGTTCGAATTTATCCGGAGTATAAGACTTGGAGAACAACTGCATACCGATGACGGCAAATATGTAAATAACTATTACTAACACAAACGTCAAATTACCGAGAGCACCTATTGTTGATATTATTATACTCAACAACACTTTCATTGTAGTCCATGACTGAGCTAACTTTAACACTCGTAACTGTAATAAAAATAAATAGATAAATTAATATACACGATAATTTCACAATAATATTAAAACAAAGCGTAGAAGTAAATGCAATAAACATAACATTCAAAATGTTATCCAGTGAAATAATGGAAACAACATACAGTAACAAAGGAAAATTAGTAAATGTAATAGGTATGAGAAACATGTTCAAACCCCTCATGCAAATGCACAGATTTGGAAAAAATAGGATTTAAAAAGATTTACATAGCACGTAGGCTCAATTTGTATTACAGGTACATGTACAAAATGCACTCTTGAAATAGTAAGTGACTCAGTAAAATAAAAAATTAAACATAGTTGTAAGTTAATTTCAATTGGATATTTTCTAATACTGATTTGATTATTATTTATTATTGATGCATCATCTGAGGATCAGCAAATAATTCGAAATATATTTTTGAAACTCTTCCACATTACATAATATAAAGAAGGCTCACAAATTTTCCAATTTTGTTAATATTATGTATACTGAGATAGTAAAGAAACTTACCAATCGAAGGCCCCTCAATACGGATAAGCCGTCTACGAGCTCAAATATGAGATCAAGAAGGCTGGCTGATACAATGATCAAATCGAATATGTTCCATCCGCAAGCAAAGAAGTCTTTACTCATCGCCATGACCTTCATTATACACTCTAGGGTAAATATTGACGTGAACACCTGGAACGCAATAGAATAGTTTTTAAAATGTTGGTGTCAATGAATATATGCATGTAAATGAACGAAAAATCACACAAAACTTTGCGAATTTGTTATATTATGTTGTTTTTGATGTTGGGATAAATGTTACTAAATTTTTTATTTACCTTATTTCCTACATCTAACACCTGTCTAACATTCTCACTCATGCCGTGATGCTCCAGAGCCAGGAACAAAGTATTGAGTACTATACATGTCGTTATAAATAACTCAAAGAGCGGATCTTTCACGATTCCATATAAGCAGTTTTGAAACTGAAGCCATCCCTCGTAGTCTATACAGCAGGTTACACAGCATTCGCTGTTTCGATCCATAAGTTCATCTGCGATCAAATTAAATTAGCTATTGAAATTGGCCAGGTTAAAATAACACTGACAAGGCACAAGAGTAGAGAAAAGAGAAGATACAGTTGTCAAGAATAGCAAAAGCGCAGTGAAGCAAAGAAATTTGTTCGATGCAAAGCATCTCTTTGCACAACTAATTACATCAAGTAATCATTGAAAAACATCATGCATTTGAAAGCGGAAATATCGGGGATAAAAACAGATGCAGGAGAAATGCACGGTACTTAGTTTACAAAGGCCAATAGTGTAATTTAGTCCGTGTTGTTACCAGTAAAGTGGTATCGGTTTAGCTGTGATCAGATTGTAGTATCAATTTTCATGTTTCTGGAGAATCTGAATCGCATAAAAGTTATAACATCTTTGACTGATTTAATTAAAATGTAAGAAACTATAATACTATTGCATGAGTCATTGTTAGACTTGAATGCGATTCTGCAATACGACGACTGCGAATCCAGTGATAAAGTCACCCTGCAGTCTTCCTGTAGGGAACAGGGGTGGACTGGGGGGCAAAAGCGTTGTCTGTGTTTTACTAACCTGTGAAGTAAGTGCAATTTTGCTCGTAATTGCCCATATGAGTTTTGTGCGTGGCTGCCAATAAACTGAGCTCATTAATTTTCGTCGTCTCCGCTTGCGGGAGGTCGGGCGCGCGCTTGTATGGCCAGTCCGCCCCTGACGATATTAATGATGGTAGAAGCGAGGTTGCAATAGTGTCGCACCAAAATGCTCAATGAGGGACGCCCCATTGAGTTGTGAAGCTAATGGTGAAGGTTAACAGTCGATAGACGCAACCATTTCTCTGTGTGGGCCAATTAAGCCATGGGTACGATTTGCGAGAATAAGGTAACCAATGATTGAGGCACTAAGTACCTACATAAAACAAAGCATAGACAACTTTAATTAATGGTTGCCTCTTCGACGTCAGCATCTATAATTTATTATTAAAATTGCAGAACGAAATTGCAGTTTCTACAACCTTGATAGCTTTGATGTAGTAGTAAATTATATTGTTAAAAATTTTTCAAAACATCATCATGCTATCTAAGGGTTAAGTGGCTCCGTTTGAATAAGGGCTTTGATTTATTTACGCCCAAGTTCAAACGGTTACAGATATTTTAAGGATCGTTCTAAAATAAAAGAACCTTACTTAATGCTTCTGAAATCCAAAGAAAATATCACCTGTTTGCAAATGCAAGTTGAAAAAAGAGCGAAAAGTTAGATATTTGGAAGAAGAAGTGATTCGAGACAAAGATCGGTAATCTAATAAATTTGAAAAGTTCAAGAATTTGAAGAAATTTTGTACAAAGTTTTCTTGAGAATTTTTCTAGGAAAGCGTTAAAAGTTTTTTTAATAACATAGCCTAATCGTTATAAGTTGAACAAATTCGAAAAGTAGAAGAATATTTAACATGCATAGAAAGAGCCTTATTTTACAAATATGGGTAATATCTACAGCTTATTTGTCTTTTTTCATGATAACCTCAATAAATGTGTTTATATTCGCCTCTTTCGTGTTGCAAAGCTTTCATTCAGTGGCCTGTTGTGTTATTTATTTTGTGCTTTCCAGTGTTGAAGCCGTGCCAATCAACGGTTGTTATCTTTAGTGTAATGCTACCAAATGTTTTGTTTTGAATTTCTGTGGTTTTTAGTTTACCAATGCTTTTTAATTTACTTTTAGATTGATGGCATTACACTTAATTCCAAAGCTGTGCAATCAAAGGAAGAAATAATCTTGTTTTACCTAGCACCACAATCTGGTTGAGGTAGTCTGGATTTAAGGGATACTTGTCTTGAATACTACTTCTTTCAGAGTGTTTTTCCTTTTCTTTCGTCTTCTCTGGCTGCTTTGTTTGAGTTTGTTCTTTTGATCCGTTTTTTGGCTTTGGCTCTTGAGGTTTAGGTTCCTGTAATTTTAAATAATCGAATATTCATTAATATATTCAATAATCAAACATTATGCCTGGCGGTTCATCATCTAGGTTAACTCTTTTTACCTTAAGTATTACGGGTAGAGGTGTCGGTGGAGGATTTGACGATGGTGGTACAGGAGGGTGTAGATGCACTCTCCTTGGATGGGGATGAGTCTGTGCCTGGTCATCAGATGTGTGTTCACCATCGTCGTGGTCATCTACAACTCCAGAATCGTCAAGAGACGACTCTCGATTGTTGCTATGATCGCTGAGTTGGCGACCTGCTGCTATTAAAGCACCTCCTCTACCTGTGATACAAATGTACATTTGAAACACTAAAAATCGCTCAATTAAGAAACTTGAAACAAGACCGCAAAAAGTAGGCTGTTCTAAATATAAATATATATTGATTGATTTTCGTTGATTTGAGTAAGTAGATATATTGTATTCAAAGATTCCTCGATTGTCGGATTGCAAGCTCACGTGTCCTGGTGTAATTAATAACTGATGCTCAAACATTGTGATGTTAAAATATAACTGGTGAGCTACTTTCAATCCAAAATCCACCTTTTAGGTTCAAAAGCAGCATTCTTATCCTGGGTTGTCGCAGAAGCGACATACAAGAATTTTGAAAGTAATATATCGAAAATTTTAATTGGGTGTATTTTAAACTTTGAGTTTGACCGTTAAATTATAGAAATACTCGTAGATTATAATATAAATCGGCTGCTACGCTAACGTCGTAGCTAATGTCTATGAGTCCAAACAATCATGTAAGTTATGCGTAGCAACCGCTACGTAGTTTGAATTCTCGAGTGCCGCTCGAGCGTTGTTTTTCAAGTATGTTTCATTATATTTTCGTAGTCCGTTTGAAATACGGTAAATTAGAGTTTGAACCTAATCTATTGGATAGATTAATAATCTCAGTACAGAGTACTAAAAAAACCGGCCACAAAAGTAAGTGGAATTACGTCTATTTGCTAAGTTTTATTGAAATATCCCCTAGTTCGCCACTATACAGGACTTAACACTGGAGGTAATAAAAATCGGTTCTCACTACTCAAAGTATATTGAGAGAAAAACGCCTTGAATTGGAGAAATAGCAAAATCAACCATTAAAGTAATCGCTCCTAAATTAAAGTTAAGCGCTATTTATAAAAATTAATCTTCATGCGTGAACAGCTACCCTTCGAGGTGGATGCTTTTCTTCAAAATGAAATGGGACAGCTATGAAGGTACCCTCTTTCCAACAAAAAAAGAATCATGAAAATCGGTTTACAAATACCGGAGTTATCGCGTAACATATATACAAAAAAAGAAGGTGCAGACGAATTGAGAACCTCCTCCTTTTTTGAAGTCGGTTAATAAATGATAACTATTCTGCATAAAACTCTACGCTCTCATGTTTTTTGGTTATAATTTTCTGGTATTATTTAATTGAATTGTTTAAATAGCCGATATAGATGAAAGATATTCGGACACTGATAATTTTTTTGCACACCTGTCCAATGTTCATTATAACTTAGAAATAAATCACATCAATATTAAGAAAGCGCTTCAAAACAAAATTATAATTGTTATAGTTGTTTATTTTCGAACAACATTATAGACAACACACAGAAATCCAAATGTTAAATTCCTAGCTCCCATTCCAAATGACGGTGTCATCGTATTTATGCAAACTGCTACGTATGCTAAATTGTGACACTTTTCGGTAACCGATTTCAATAAACCTTGGCAAATAGACGTAAGTCGAAATACATCTATTTGTGAAACTGAACTTTTGAGGTAGGTTTTTTTTTATAAAGTATTAATTGTGTATTGAAGTTCAAATAAGTAACATAAAATTTACCAGCATTTAATTATTTCTAAAACAGTGTCAGCCCTAATGATTTTATAATTTGAGGCGAGAAATCGCAAATATTTCTAGTTTGAGTAATAATTCAACTTCAGAATCGGAAATTGATGCAGGTAATGTAGTAAATGAATATAAAATAAAATCTTACAATATTCTTTCTTTTCATTTACCATTATCTACCTACTGTCTAGTAATTACTGTTTAATAGGTTTCAAAAACTTAATTACTTTATTCATAAACAATAATAATAACAATAATAACACACACACTCAACATAGCCCCACACTAGGGAAACCCTGTGTCGCGGGTGCCATGGACACACATATAGACAACCACAAATTACACTCAAACTCACAAGAGAAACAAATATTTCTATATAGGTATACAAATATTTCTCCCGGCCCGGGAATCGAACCTGGGACCTCTGCGTGGCAGTCCGTTACCGTTCGGCCACAGAGGCAGTTAAAAAAGTATCAATAGGTAGTCTCCTAACTTTATAACAATTGGCCAGTAAAGTATTATTTCTACATAACCCCTACTTACTTCTTCAAAGTCTAATTACGCGAGCAGGCCGAACTAGGCTAAATTTTGAGCATAGACATAAAAATGTTCTTTTCCTATGCCATCATTAGTTGCCTAGCAACGTTTTGTTATTAAACATTCTATGTCGAATTTAGCCTAGTACAGTTTAATATGATACACAATTTCGTTATAAAAATTCGCTTACATTCGGTTCCGCGGCAATGTACATGGAGCCTAAAAAACGCATCCAGAAGAAATTTATAAAATTTATAAAACACCTGAACTACAAGTGCAAACATTCTCCTAATGACTACATCGAGGATTGCCGCGTGCACCGTATCCTCACACTAGAAGAGCGCCGCGATCTGTTAGACATGGGCCTTCTATATGATGTCATGCGAGGGCGTCTGAATTGCCCTGAGTTGCTGGGGCTTATTTCACTGAGTGCACCTTCGCGTCGAACCAGACACACTCCACTATTTAGTGTCCCCTTCCAATCCACAAATTATGGTTAAAATGCTGTTCTCACTCGAATCCTTCGAACTTATAATACCAAATTTGCTACTGTGGATCCTTTTATAGGATCTAAGCATTGCTTCATAAGCAATATCAAACAAAAAATTATTGACTAACAGTACACACACCTCTACTTTACACAAAGTATATTTATTATTATTTATTTATATAAATTAATAAATTATGTATGCTATAATTACACATTCATTTTTATTCCTTTAAATTCTTATTTATATTATACGTATTGTGTTGTTTATTATACTGTACAAAAGAATATTATATTCTATGTATGTCACTTTGTATGTATATTATATTACATATATATATAAATATATATTATATTTCCCATACATCATGTTTTCCTTCTAATAGACAGAATTCATTTCAGTGCAGTCCTTAATATTATTTTTTAATTGTTTACCGTAGTTAAGTTGCTATAATTATAAATACAATCAAGAATTGTAACAAGGGTTGGCAGTCATTGGCCTTATTTAAATTGTACCTAATTTAAGCTTATTTTATAATCTGTTGGCTGTTGCTACCCCAAATAAAATAAATTAAAATAAATAAAAGTTCACAGTATATGAATACAAAGATGAACTGTTAAAAGAAGACTCAAAACATTTGAGCTTAAATCAGGGCACTATTATTGTAGCAATAATTTTAAGTAGTAATGCATTTAATCATGTTGTGATTGATTAAATTAAGAAGTGTAATTGATTCAATTGAGAAGTGTGATTGATTCAACTAAGTAGTGTGATTGATTCAGTTATAAAGATCCATTGATACGAGTATTTTTTGTGTATAAATTGACGTCAATTTAGAAACAAAAATCGACCAAAAACGTTTATAGCAATACCTCCCACAACTGGACATTGTTATGCAAACTAGAACCAACCCACAAAATGTTACTTTCGAGATAATTAGATTTTTGTAAAAACAGTGTGAACAAATAAATAGGTAAGTTATTTGAGACAAACTACTTGAGTTATGTGTAGCATTGAGAATGATATAGGAAAACTATTATGTTATATAGCAATAAATAGAAAACTTTATGTATCTTTTTTATTTAGTTAACGAGAACCATGTTCTAGTTTTCGTAATGAAAACGCTAAAGATCTACAATACTTCAGTACATGTGATATGGATCCATTAAGCATATTTAAAAAAATACATTATGTGAAGTTGAGCAGCAGTTCTTTTTAGCTGTTAAAAAGTTACTTATATAAGGTTGGTACCCTGAAGAACTTTTATTTTCTCCGTTTTGGCTTGGTATATTGCCAGGATCTTTTGTGAGCGGGTAAAGGATAGTCCGGTGTGCTACCTAAACACATAACTCAATTTCACTCGATGTGTGGGTTGGTTCTTGTTTGCATAACTATGTCCAACTTACTCGTGAAAATCTTCACACAAACTCACTTTTTCCCTATGAACAACGCCTGAGTCCTGACTAGAATTGCTACAATTTGTTTATTATGTGCAATAATTTGTTTCTTAAGTAGGTGTAGTAAATTTTTCTTAAAATAATTGATAATTAATATGTGATACATATATTCTACCCGTACAATATTATTTGTAGAATCCCAATGGTATTTATACGGTAAATAAGATCACTCTTACTTCTTCTTAAATCTTGCATAAAGCTTTGTATTGAGTGAGCCAATTGCATTTCAACGTAGGTGTGTAAAGAACTATTGGGATTAGGTACAAACTATGTTACGTACAGACTTTAGCCATGTAGTACCTACCTAAGGCATTGTCAGGATGCAGCGTGTGCGGGGGTGGCGGCGGTGGCGGTGGCGGGGGAGGCGGCGGCGACGACGGACTAGGGGTCACTGACCGCGACCTGGACTGCGATCTCGACCTGTAGACAAATGTGAGCGAACCTTTAAAATGTCTATACGAAATTTAAAAAAAAAAGATTATGCTCATTCGGTCCCTTACAACACTTATGGACGTAAATAAATTAAAATTTTCCCGTTAACTAATCTACATCACAATAATATGAATTTTTTAATTGAACTATATAAATAACTTTTTGTAGTAAAAAATGGGGTGCGTAAAAGGAGCTTCTCCTCAATGTCGCAGCAATTGTATTCCCACTATATCTGCAGCACCCTGGGTCTGCGCCGATTGTTACCCAGGTCAGTTCGGATAAGTTCTACGCCGCGATAATAGTGTTAAGTGTATGCCATCGCTACAACAAGAAGAAGCAGTCAAAATTGTAAGTTATGGCGATCCGTGATAATTGAACGACACATAATATATAATAATGATGTCATAATGATACCGTTCTCTAATACTTTGACCACATGTGCTACTCAGTTGTCCAGAATGACGTGTTAGAGCCTATTCACACGGCGTATTTTATACGCGCTATAGTCGCGCGTATGTATCGCGCATTTTGATAAAAGATAGTTTTAATTTTAGTTTTGTTTGTTAATTTCAGTTAGTTTTTGAAATTAAGCAACTACATGAAATTCTAAGTGTAAACTTCAGTGGAGTATATAACCTTCTTGCTTGCAACGCGATGTTTGCGTGTGTTAATCGATTCACTACAGCGCGTCTGCGGCGGGTGCCGTAAATACGTGTTCGTGATACGCGCGTCGTCGGCTTATATACAATACGCCGTGTGCATAGGCTCTTAAGGGAACTGTCTTACTTTTGCGAAGAAGAAAAAACTTTAGTAGACTTCGATCTGCAGTTCACTTGGTAAAGTATTTGCCCTAGATTGACCAAACAGACGCAGGTTCGAATGCTGTCAGATCGAAGGAAGTTTTCTTTGTATTCCATCTTTGTATTAATAATGATTACAAACTACTTATATGTTTATATATTATACGCTTTTAATCTTTCACACTGTATTATGCTAACATTACAAAAGGGGGATAAACGCGATGAAACAATTTAATAGGTGTTCGCATATCTACCTACCAATTACACCCGGCGATGTTTTGGCCAGGCCGGCACAGTGCGCGTGGTTAAAGCTTTTAGTTAAGTACTCTTGTCTGGGGTTCAGCAATAATAAAGAGTTTTCACAAACGTTTCGCAGGATTTTAAGGTTTAAATGTTACCAACTCATGTTCAACAACTTTTGGTTATTCATACAGAAATTAGCACTTCCACCTGAATTTATTAATTACGTTTTGTAGTGTGAAGAAACTTTCTCTTCAAATTATGTAAAGATTATGTTCACAACCTGTATATATGTTCTTAAAAAATCTTTATCATGAATATGGGATTAAAACTATTTTTTTCGTGTCTAAATGGCATATATTTGTTTTTTTTTTTCAAAGAAACCAACTAAATCTCGTTCCGGGTCCTATACGGATCCTTTTTTTTATGATACCAATCAAATGGACGGGATGAACAAGTCGTGTACCCGTGATGTTAAGCGACACGTCTGACCAAGCAGTTGCAGTGCCACGCCACTGGGACAGGAATGAGTAGCACATGATGAAGGAGGCCTACGTCCAGAGATGAGCTTCCAATAAATTTTGAGTCGAATATTTCAATTGAAACCTATTATTATTCTAATTTCATTTTAATTTAATTGACTATAATTTCATTTTAATTTTGCATGTTTTGTGCAAATGGAATTTTGTTTTTCATACATTTTTTTGGAATAAAGGCTTTATATTATTATTATATTATGAGTGCTAGAGCTACGGAATTCACTCCGGGGGTACTATCCAGGACAACCAGACCTTGACTAATTAAGGAAAGTTTATTTCCCGGTTTGGTCTTGCCGGAAAACGGAACCAGGGACCTATTTATCCAGCGCCCACAGTGCAAACCGTTGGGGCGCTAATGTCCCGAAAAGTTATTTCATTTTCATGTTTACAATTTCGTACCCTTGGTATAACAAAGCCACATCACATGACAAAAATTCTTTTATCAAATGAAAATCTTAAAAAGAATACCAATTTCCATGAAATAAATGATGTATGCGTAAAAAGTTATCAACTAATTCCGTCCCTAAAACCTTCATCATCATCATTTTCAGGTCATTCATTCATATTGCAGATGTGGCCCTATTAAAGGAACTGTGTCAATATGGTACACTATTTGCGTAAATTGTTTTCTGGTTTCAATGCGCACATTAAGCGAAAATCTAATTTTTATTTCACTGTGTATGAATGTCCACAGGTGCTTGCGATTATCTAAGACTAGGTAGGTGGTTTATTTCACATACGAGTTTGTAAATGAATCCACAAGTAGGTAAAAGCGCTTACCGAAGTGTCGGCAAACAGCATTATAATGCAAATGCACGCGCCGACTACAAGATATTTAGGTCAAGCAGGTGGGAACTATTCATAATACAAAAGTACTACAATTCCGCTCTTGCATTGGTACGGAAAACTAGACATCCTGAATCCAACATTATTAGATAGCTATTGAATAATAAAAGGTACGCAAAGTTATTTCGTTATTCGTTCGCTTTTACAGAATTTTGAGAGCGAATGAAATATTTGTGTTTTATTGCACATTAAAATATACAATGACAACACAGTACAGTAATGTAAGTATATTGCAATAAGCTAATGTACAACAAGTGACCTTTTGCTAAGGCTCAATTTACATCGCGGCGGAATGGAATGGAAGCGGTTTTTTGTAACAAAATTGTACAGTCGATGACCTAAGAGACCTGCCTTCCTAACAGTCTATTTAGTTCTGAGTAGATCAGTGTAAATAAAGGTATTCTGAGTAGATCAGTGAAAAAAAAGGTATTGAAGAAATTCAACCCTTAACCTCTGAGCTGTAAAATTAATTTTGGTATGACTTCCTTATTGCATCTTAGTTGAAGGACGTTTTAGTAAACTTTTTAAGCTAATTTGATCTTTAATTACATTACACGAATACAAAATTTAACTGCATCTGTGGCCGAACGGTTACCATGCTGGACTGCCACGCAGAGGTCCCGGATTCGATTCTCGGGCCGGGAGAAATATTTGTATGGCCTACATTTATTTCTTTCGTGAGTGTGGGTGTAATTTGTGGTTGTCTATGTGTGTGTTCATGTGACCCGCGTACAGGGTCAGGGGGTTAGTGCGGGGCTGTGTTTCCTTAGTGTGTGTGTTATTATTATTAATTTCAACAAAAAAGCAGGAACTCCTTTACATTTTTCTGTTAAATGTATAAGAAAACTCTTAGAACCAAAAAATCGGCTAGGGGGACATATATATCTTAGGGCATCGACCGTACGTACGATAGGGTAGCTGCGGGAATTTCCGTGATTGCGCGATAAATCTCCGGAAGACTTGCGACCTGTGTTTTGCCTCGTATCTAGTTTATACGTTATACAATTGACGTAAAGTTCATTATGCTAAGGTTACAAACAATCGCTTCCATTCCTTTCCGCAGTAATGTAAATTGAGCCTTGTAGCAATTTAATGCAAACAACTCGAGAAAAGTAAGTTACGATTTTTTTCAAGTGACGGTATGAACAAGTCGTGCGCCTGGTGGCAAGCGACACGCTTGTCCATAGCAGTTGCAGTGCCACTTAGAGCTTTAAATTGCAAAAAATTTAGTTGACAAGACTCACGTGCTCGTAATTTCACCAGCAACCTGACTCTTCAAAACTGGCACACAGTAGTGCATTTTGCCGCTTGGCGGCAGGATTAGGTAAGGCGACAGTACTTCCCTGGACGAACTCTTTCACAAGGAGATCTACTACAGAGCGTGTTTATCAAAGAATGTCGTCTGACAATTTAACATGGTCTATTATATAGTATATACTATTATTGCACATGCAAATATTATTTTTAATTATTCACAGTTCTGCACATTCGCGCCCGCTTAACTATTGACTATTTTGTGTACTACACTAAAACGGTGACTTCAATTTGAGTGGATGCTAAGAAAACTGCGCTCGCTTCTCTCTCTTTTTTATGCAAGTATCACACAACATGAAATACTAATAATATGTACATGTACTACTTGGTACTTGGTGCAACGGGCTGCATATACATATATATACATTTTTACATTATAATATTTAGTAGCAGTCGGGCTCCTTGTGAATGAGTTCGTCCAGGGAAGTATTGTCACCGTACCTATTTCTGCCGCCAAGCAGTAATGTCAGCATTACTGTGTTCCGGTTTTGAAGGATAAGGGTGCTGGTGGAATTACAGGGACATGGGACTTGTCAACTTATGTCTCAGGGTGACGAGCGCAGCGCAGATCTTAGCGATTTAAAGTGTTGAGTGGCACTACAACTGTTATGTACAGTCGTGTAACTTACCATCAGATGCACGACTTGTTCGTTCCGTCACGTGATATTATTAAAAAAACCTTATTTACTTTTTTGAAATAATTATGTAATTTTTATGAAAAAACCGACCTCAAAGTTTATTGTTTTACATGTATTTGCCAACATTGCCAACTTTTATTGAAATCGGTTAACGGAAAGTGGGTGAAATCCAATAACCCGGATTCATTCCCTAATTTGTTAAGGGTGGTAAATTAGGGAAAGAATGAGGTGGAATATTTTCTTAAAATTTTAATGGAACCACCACTACTGACAAATCGAAATCGGTTCAGTTGTACACGTCTGATGACAATGCTATAATTAAACTAAATTTAAGCAACATTTTGCATGCCTAGTCAGGTAAGACATGTGTTCTGTAATAATTGTTCCATCTTTCACACCATGTTTTAAGCAAATAAATTTCATTTCATTTCATTTCAAATTTCATTTCATTTCAATGTCGGAGTGGTCGCGTAATATAAACACAAAAAATACAGTCAAAATTGAGAACCTCCTCCTTCTTTTAATGTCGGTTAAAAAAATCAGACGACTACAAAAAATGGGATCCTCTCTTCCTCCTTAAGGTTTTTTTTTTCTTCGGTGTGGTAATCATG